AGGCCCACGGAAGAGGGGGAAATGCTGAAACTCCACCAGTCCTTTGCTTGATGGTGTTGGGAAGTGAGAGTCTAACCCACGGCCACTTGGGGTAGAATTCAGAATCTATGCTCCTGACTTAAGCTTTGCAGCCTGTATTTTGGAATTCACTTTTAAGAAATAGACCAGAAACACATATGTGCAATGACTTTGGGGATTTTCATGTATTTTTTCCTTGCACCATCCACAATTGATTGGTGAACAGCTTGACAAAGACTAGTATATGTAGGTCAAAAGCTAGCATTTGTTGTTGTTGTTGGTACTGCTGCTATGTTAGTGGTGCTGGTGGTGATCTAATAAAGATGTCACCTTCCTTTGTTTTGGAATTGGAGGTAGGAAAGTTACAGAAGAACATTCTACATTACAGGCTCAAATGTGATGCTTTTGCTGCCATCTTGTGCTCATGGTGTAGGACTGCTGTGGTTTAAAGATGAAAAAGGTGGACAGTTAAGAAAGCTGACAAGGGGAGGGGGGGAAATGATTTGTTTGAAACCTAATAAAGATGTCACCTTCCTTTGTTTTGGAATTGGAGGTAGGAAAGTTACAGAAGAACATTCTACATTACAGGCTCAAATGTGATGCTTTTGCTGCCATCTTGTGCTCATGGTGTAGGACTGCTGTGGTTTAAAGATGAAAAAGGTGGACAGTTAAGAAAGCTGACAAGGGGAGGGGGGGAAATGATTTGTTTGAAACATGGTGCTGTAGGACTGCTGTGGTTTAAAGATGAAAAAGTGGACAGTTAAGAAAGCTGACGGGGGGGATGATTTGTTTGAAACATGGTGCTGGAGGAGAGCTCTGCAGATACCCTGGACGGCCAGAAAGATGAACAAGCAGGTCTGTGACGGACTGCCAGAAAGATGAACAAGTAGGTCTGTGACCTTGCTGCCTCTCATCTACCTCCTTTTTCTTAACCTTGTTCAAAGAAGCAGTCGTCACACTCAATTCTTCTAATAAAACTGGTTTATTATTTAACATATCATCATCGATTTCTGAGCCTTGTTTCTCATCATCCAAATTCAACAATAAATCATAAGTGTTAACGTTATTAAAACTGGATACCTCTTCATGGTATCACAATATTATTAAAACTGGGTACCTCTTCATGGTATCACAACGGGGAGTAACTAGCAATACATGAGACCACTTGGGTTTGGCATTCATCAACTCTGACGTGTTCTCTGCCCACTTCAACTTTGTGTATTGAATGACCAACCTTCTTGGTGTTCTCCCTTTCTCAAGCCATGAACTGTTCTCCATCGGGGTCTGAAGGGGCTGGGCCCACAGGATGTCTCCGGACTCACTGTACATCTCTGCCTTCCTCTTCTCTGTTCTTCCCTTTTTACCCACACTTTATACTCTTTCTTTTGCTTTCTCTCCTCTGTCTCCCCCCCAGTAAGGTAGCTTTCTATAAATCTGTCGTCTCCATTCCCTTTCAGCGTACTCATGTCACAATTTGAATTCCACCCACTCTTCTGTCCAAGGGTCTTCTTGGATCAACTCTACAAGCTCTTCTTTTTCCTCTCCTTTCTCCTCTCTTCCCCAACATGCTTCTGCCTCTCCCCCTCCTTCTTCCCCCTTTTTTATCTTCCTCTTTTCCCACGTGATTTCCCCCCCCCTTCAGTCTCTTCCCTTATTTCTAATTTCCTTAATTCCCTTTCTATTACTCCTGTCTCCTGCTCTTCTGTCTTTGTTTGAGAGTCGGCAGGTACACTCTCCTGATCCTGGTTGAGGTGACTCTGCGCCTCACAGGGTCCTAGACCAAATCAAGCCAGAACTATCTCTGGAGGCACAAAAGTTGATACTGGGGCTGTCCTGCTTCAGGCATATCATGAGAAGGCAGGATTCTCTAGAAAAGACAATAATGCTGGGAAAGGTGAGAGGCAGTAGGAAAAGAGGAAGATCAAATACCAGATGTACGGACTCCCTAACAGGTGTGTATGTGCAGGAGCTGAGCAGGCCTGTTGAGAATGGGGCATTTTGGAGATCGTTCATAGGGTTGCCATAAGACGGAAGCAACTTGATGGCACACGACAACAGCAACAACAAAGACTGCATACAGTGCTGTCTTTTTTGTTGTCTTTGGGTGATACCAGAAGAAGAAAAAAGACTCAATGGAAGCAGCGAACATGGTGGGGAGGTGGAGGGTGGAAGAGGCTGCTTTCCTAAATAGGTCCCTGCAATACAGAGTAATTCAGAGTCAGACCCTAGCTGCTCTCTGAACACACATATTTGCCTCTTATTCAAAATAATTCTGTTTACTCTTGGTAAAACTTTGACTGGGTTGCCCTGCCGCCATTCCAGCACCTAGCCCACAACTTGGGTGACAGAAGTGCCAACCACTGCATGATAAACAAAGTGTTTAATTTGCCCCAATATCCTGAAGTGCTTCTCTTCTTAAGCTACTTCATGGTATGGCAAATTCAAAAAGGAAGGCTTGCTTTGGTTCATTTCCATCGACCACAGGTGCTAGAAATGAACTAAAGTGGAGTAATCCTACCTGCACAAAAAAAAAAAAGTAGATGCCACTGAGAGCGACCCAGAAAGGTGCAGGTAGGAACACTTTGAAGGTGGGCTGGTTCAGTCCAGCAAAGCCCTTCTCTGACTGAAGACTTTAAGGAGTGAGTGGGAGTGAAGTGTGTGTGGGGGGGCTGATAAGGAATGGAAGGGGAAATACTTCTGGGAGTTATTCTTAATTCACTTTTCACACTCCCCTCACACGAGCATCTTTGAGCCCACCCCTGCAATGGACCAAACAGTGGGCCACATGCCTGTGTAGTCACCCTCTGATTGGGAAGCTCAGCTGACAAGCATAAAATCAGATGAAATGAGCAGTCAAAAATCCTGAAGCAAAGTGCCCTCCCACCATTATCTGGAGGAGACCTTAATCAGTCAGTGTGGGCTAAAAACCTGAAGCTCGCATGCCCCTTCACCCCAAGCTAAGTGTACTCTGTATTACATGTCCCCATAATTGGGAAATTATCCCCCTTAGTGATAAATGATAATTATTTTTTAATGAATATAGTAATCTGGGCACAATGTGCATTAATGTGCAATGACACCAAGTGACAATCACAAACAGAGAGGTGGGCCCGCATACCCAGAGTACAGTAATTAGTTACTCTGGAGAGTCCCAACCCCTTACTGTTAGGAGTGGCTGGGTTTCATCCATTGCTACAGGCTGTGTGAATCCCCCATCCGATTGGAACTGGTGGAACAGTGGATGTTTTCCTGCATTCCACTGCTGGGCACACTGAGTGAGAGAGTGGGTGGGAGTGGCAATGGGCTGGTAAGGAATGGATGGCGCAGCACTTCTGGTAGCCATTTTTATTGCCTTTTCACGCACACTGCATGTTTATTCTTATGTACCACACATATTGTTCCATTAAACAAAGAGGCTGGTGATGGAGTGTGTGTGTGCACATGAATCTGTTTGCTGAACCTGGGCTTGTGTGGCCCAGTGGGTACAATAAAGTACAATAAGAAAGTCCTGAGCTGATAGTTTGACAAACACGGCCTCAGAGGTATCTCCTCCAGCCCAAATGCTCCCACGTCACTTATGTTTATGGATGACTCCGGTCACCTCTATTGAGTCTCATTCTCCTGCCGGTTTGGGATGACTGGAACTCCAGTCCAACGCATCGGGTTGTCCCCAAAGTGGCAGAGGATGCTCTCTGTGGCATCCACTTGCAATACTGCCTCTTGTGTCCTTTTTGTTTTCTAATGCTACTGCACAAATGCAATGAAGAAGAAATGTTTTTAAAAAATACATATATATCAGAGATAAAGTTGCTGGGCATTCACATACCCTGAACACTGTCAGCAACCTGTGCAATGCCATATGGAAATGTGCCATCAGTTACATCAGCCTTGGAAATAGGAGGTCTGCGAGACGGAAAAATGCAGACGAAAGAGGGGTCAGTCCATCTTCTGAAACAGAAAGTAGCAGAGCTGGCCTTGGAGACTCGACAGGCCAATTTCAGGAGCTTGACATTGAGAAAAGATGCCACACTGACACAGACAGAATCACTCCCATATTTATTGTCAGGGGTTGGAACTGTATTGTATTGGGTATGGAATTGTGAAAAGCAGGGAATTAAGACATTGGTTGGGGAAGAATGGCAAGGAGGGGATTACAGTTTGGTGTCTGGAGGAAAATGGGCTCAGCCCAATTTGGCACATGCACTCATATGTTACATAATACCCATGGGGGACGGGAGGGAGTAAATGAAGCCTAATGGCTGTGAGATAAGAGTGTGCGGAAGATGGAACTTAATGTACCTGGCCTAAAAAGTACAGTCGTTGCCTCTCTTTTTATACAATGTCTATGACTTTGATACCTTTTGATACCTATATTGAACAAATATAGTTTTTCCTCATCACAAACTATTAAAAGTCCAATAATGACATATTTTAGTGATAAGGTGTTTCTTTTTTTTCATAGCCACAATAACTATATTGGGCTGTTGCTTTAATGAAAGACAAACATCCCTACTCTTCTGGAGTTTCTCATGACCTCAAGCTGGCACATTCTTGTCCCTCAAAAGACTCCATCTGTTGAGTTGCAGCCTGTTGAGAAGAAGTTAAAAGCAACAGAAGTCCAATTAGAATTTAAAATGCCAACTCAGTTTGAGGGGCATGCATGTCAAGAGATTATCTTGAACTTGTTTGTGAAGGGAGAAAATATAGTTGTTGAGCAGAAAAATATAGCCTTGATCTGTATCACACATGTAGCCAGGGTCCTTTTTTCTCTCCAATAAGGAGGAGATTTGGGGACTTTATGTTGAATTCAGGATATAATATGCAATTAAGTCCCCTCCATCATATCCTCCTAGGAAGTTACAGGTACTAGGAAAAAAAATGGAGACAATGGCAGAAGTCTTTTTTTCCAAGCGGGAAAGCAGTATATTTAAAGCAGGAGTCTTAACATTTTAGTTGTCTTTGGGAAGCCCTTTTCTGCCCCTTGCAGAGACTGCATAGTTAACCCAAATTGCCAGAAAATGCAACATCCTCCAAACAGTGTGTGTCTCGGAATCCCTCCTTTTGACAAATGGGAATTTTCTGGTGTTAAACGGTGCAAGCAGGAAGGACCTGTAGCCTATTTAAGATGTGTATCTTTCTTTTAGAAGCCAAAAACAGAGAGCAGTGAGACAGTTCGAAGGACAAAATAATTTTGGAGAGATGCATATCACACACACACATACACACACCCCAGGGGGCAACGCTACATGATCAAGATTGTTAAGTGCAACTGTAACCAAGTGTGTGGAAAGGACATAGTTTCATGCTTTGGGTGGAGGATAAGGCAGGAAAATAAGGCTGTCTTTTCCTTTGCGGTGGAGAGAAGGAGACAAAAATAGATACTGCTAGTCCACCTTAACCAGCTAAGGTCGTACTGGGGATTGGGCCGTGTGTAGCCATGCAATGAAAAATGTTCCCACAGAAGGTCAGAGTTTAGCAAGTCTAAAAGGGTAGCTTAGGTAGCCTGGGTGGGGCAGAGCGAATGGAGCTCTTGCTGCTTTGGGGAAATAGCATTCACTAAGCCTGGAATCCTGTCAAGAAGCTTCTCACCCGTCAGCCAAGGAGAGGCTGCCCACCTGTTTTGCTGGTCTGAAAGAATAAAAGCTCTTGGTATGAGGCTCAAGGGCTAATACTGACACGAGGAGGTCTCAGACAAGTCTGATCTTCACTCACTATAAGCCCCCCCAAAAAAACCCTGAGGATGGTGGGAATTGCGGTCCCAACACATTTGGTGGGTCCCCAATTGAAGGATGCTTTTCCAGAGTAATTCTGGAAGCGTGCCCCCGTGTGTTTCGTGCTAACAGCACCTCCCTCTTACAGGATCTAATTAAACAAAGCTAGACCAGACCTTTTTTCATCCAGAGATATCTCAATGAAGATGGCCTCCTGAGGTAATATGGGAGTGGCCCAACGGGACAACTAGAGGCTGGGCTGGGCTGGACAAGGGGGTGAGGGATGAGGAGGGTGGGAGTTATTTCTGGACCTCTGTGCACTGCAATGCTGACTCCATAAGGGCCCGACTCTCCAGCCCTCCACATGGCCATTCTCCAACCCTCCCTGGCCACAGATTTTGGTGCCTTGCATTATTGCTACAGGGAGAAGGGCGGGAAGAATTAAATCACAGTCTCAAACAGGGTCGCCTTCTCTGGAGCACCCACAGCAACGCCGTCTGGTGGTGGCAGCAGCTTTGCTTCAGCTTCAGGTGTCATGTACTCCAGGTGGTGGTGGCCCCAGACAGGGGTGATCAGCAACTGCCATCGCTGGGGAAGAAAATAAGGCGGTAGCATCAGTGAGCAAGGCAAAGCACTGCCTCCGTCGTTTCATTTTATTGATTTACCATGAAATGTATTGTTTTGGCTAAACTGACCAAAACCAAACAATTCACACGAATCAAATAATCCAGCACCCATCGGAGGAATTTTGCCTAGGAAATGCTAGCTTGTTGGGTAGAGATTGCTTTTTCATGAGAGTTTTATCCGCTTGAATTTTACCCCTGCTGTTGTGGTTGTGTTCTGTACACCCATGTTTTCAAGTGACACTTAAATACTTAGCATTTAAATTTTTTATTATACACTGCCTTAAGAGCTTTACTGAAAGATGGCCTAAAAATCTTTCATATGTACAAGCATATCATCTTTAATTCAGCTCCCTGGAGAGTTGGGTTGCTTCCAGAGCTTTTATTGTGCAATTGCACCTGCCTTGTTTACAGAATTATTACAGAGGATTCAGACACGGACATCATCTCCCACTTGTAACCATCTCAGATTTTCCAACTACTACTTCTGTATTTTTCTTCTTAAGGCAGAAAGTCTGCTAAGCTTAGTTTGTCCTGGGGTGTGTGTGGCAAACCAACCCAGAAGCATCTGGGCCACTTAATATATATTTTTTAAAACTCTGATCGTGTGTGTTCAAATATTCCTATGTTATGAATAGAATCCTCAAAATGGATATATAGCTGTCCACTGCAGTCTAGTGCCTACAGTATCAGGGTCAGGCTCTCAGCTGCAATGGAGTGGAAAACTGAAGTGCTACAGGGCCCCCCAAAATGTACCTGAGAACCTACGGGCCTGACCATGAGTTAATACGGCCCTACCTCTTCTGCTACAAGTGTTAGAAAATCAGCCGAAGGAGCCTTTTTTAAAAGGTATTCCAAAGAGAGGAAGCCACAACAGAAAAGTCCCTGTTACTGTACTATAATATGCATCCAGATGCCCTTAGTGGCAATATGAAACGTACAAGATTTGGTCTATGTAGAGGGATTGTGAATAGCTTCATCTGTGTGATGTGGGAGCACAGCTAGAGAAGCCAGTGTAATCTTCATTAATGTGAGGAGGTTCCCTCCCAGCTTCCATGTCCTGTTGTAACTCTATAGATGAATGTGCTCTTGAGCTGGGGCAGATTCCAGATTCTTGGAATCCGATAAGCATAGTCCTCATCTCAGAGGCTTTCATATGCTTTGTGAAATCTCAGTGGTTATGCTAACTTGCAGATCCTGGGAGCAATATTTTTTAAAAAAAGCTTTAACAAGCTCTGCCTCAGCCTTTAGTATACTCTGTGCTTGCACCTTCTTACTGCTTTACTTTAAAGCCATTTATTCCCACAAGCTGGAAAATGCAAAGTATATTAGAATTGCTTAGAAAATGTAGAACCCACTTCCAGATTCCAACTGGACATGATTGGAGTTTTGTGCTCTGTAGATGACAGATGAATAATCTCTTTTCTCAGATCCAGCAAAATGAATGAAATTCTTAAGCAGAATCCTCTGGATGATCCAGCTTGAATTTCAGTTCAGTAGTCATAGTTATGCTGAATAGGCCAGACACACAGATGTGTCCTGGAGGCTCAGCATCTCAGACAAATATCGGATATGTTAAAAGGAGAGGGCCCAGCCCAATGGGACAGAGACAAGAGTCAAGCCTCTGACCGTATGGGACAACCCCAACATCACTGATCTACCCTGTTTTAAGAAGGGTGGCCTAAAAAGGAACAGAAGCAACAGCAGTGGCCTCACTGGAGTTGCAATTAGCATAAATTAAATGGGTCTAGAATAAAGCAAAGCAAGGGAAGGAAAAAAAATAAACTGGGAGGGGAAAAAAAGTGCGAAGGCACTGAAAACCAAACGAAAAGAAAAACATGGCTCTGAGAATATCTGTGCTGCATTTGCTTGAAAACCGTCAAATGCTTTTTAAAAAACAACATTTCTTTCCCATGGGCAAACTGATAAAATATTATCTAGCCATGTATTGGCTTGCCCCTGACAGGGGAATTCCTCCCCCCCAATAAAAATATGCAGGTTGATTTCTAATTTTTTTTTTAAAATTATACAGGTATTTTGAGAACCAAGCTTCTCTCTTACCCGGTGGACTAGACAGTTTTCAGCAGCCCAGAGACACTTGGGAGAGGCTCAGCATGCTATAAATGTGGGGTGTCTGGCAACTGCATCCTGGTGGGTAAGGGAGACCGGGTGTCAAAGGGAGAAGAGAGAGGCGGCCATTCACCTGTTGCAAGGAGCCCTTGCTTCGCAGAAGCTTGTAGCAGACTGTGCAGGGGATGCAGAGCATCGAGGCCAGAGCCAGGGCCCATCCAATCGCCTCTCCCCACCAAGGGTAGACGTAGGTCTTGTTGTAAGTCAACGGCTGGTAGTTCACCACATGGAACAGGAAGATGCCCTGATGAGGAAGCAGAGGGAAGAGGAAGGAAGGGAGATCAGAGTGAGGACAGAGGTCATGACAAAGAGGACTCGCAGGGCATCCCTTATGGATGTGGCTGACCTGTGGAACCTAGCTTCCTCACGGAGATGGGAGACGTTACGACAACTCCATGAATGTTCCAGCTAGTGGGGCCAGTGGTTTTCTGGGAGCAGGAGGAACTGCAAGCAAGCAAGTAAACAAACCACCCAGAAATACCTTTTTGCCATTTTTGCTTCCTTCAGGTTTAGAAATTTGAATGCCTGATGTTCTTGCAAGTGAACTGAATGCTGGTCCAGTTTAGAAACGTTTTAAAAGTGGCTTTTTAAAAGTAGTGTATGAACACTTATTAATTCATCTGTGACACTAATGCCTTCTTTTAAACATTTCTTAAATAGTTGATTGCTTGAAGGCGGAATGAGAGAGACAATGATAGTAATCAGTGCTGCCCATAGCTTGATTACCCATGAGTTCTTTTTACCTCAGAGATTGACCCTGGATGAGAATTAGGTACTTTGAAGTAAGCTATTTATTTTTAAATATTTATATCCTGCGCCTTCCCAGCAACATGTTCTCAGGTTGCGTTTACACTAGCTTCATGCCTCCGTCCCTGATCAAGTCTTTCTCCACCACTAATTGGACTCTCCACAATTGCTTTATTTGTGCACCTTTCCTGTGAAATAATTTCAGTTTTCAGGTTTTCTTCAGTATCTGGAGAAGGAACAGGGAAGAAAGATATCTAGTCTGATCCAGCTAAGCAAAGCAATTTTTATATTTGTAGGGTCCCCATCTTGTCATATACTTTTCTAGCTGGGGTAAAAATACAGGCAGGAGAGGGATCCTCCTCAGAAAATGGAGCAGGCCAAAGGGGTTGACCCTGTATGCCACACAGCCCCTAAGTCAGAGCAGGAGGCTCTTAAGTCCACAGAGACTGAAGTGGAATCACCTACTTTGCATCCCGTTGAGTTTGCACTTAAATCACAGGGCAGGTGGCACCCTCAAATTTGAGGTGAGTTCAGTTGGGGGGGAGGCATTTGAACTGGGCAAGGAGAGGTAAAATATTACTTGTGTCCCTTGGTATGTGCTGTGATATTTACACTGGAGTGAGTGCAGGGAAGCCCTCCAGATGTTAGTGGGCTGAAACTCCGAACATTGCTCACCGTTGGGCTGCCGGTTAAGACTGGCCGTGCTTGAAAACCCAAAAGCATCTGCCAGGTCACATTTTGCTCTTCTATGACTTAAACATGTCCCGAATTCCAGTTTTCTGCTTCCAATGGCTTAAACTGTATGAAGAGAAAACTTCATACAGCCAAGCCATTTAAAAAAAAACAACCACCCTGCCCACTGATAAAACATATGTATGCCTGGAAAGCCAGACTAAATCCAGCTTTAAGAGGTGGTTCTTCTAGTTTTGCCTCACCGCTATTCTTGACTCACCACACACACCGCTGGGGTAATGAGGGACCAGCACCACTTCATGTAGGGCAGAGGCCGGTAGCCAATCATGCGGGCAACATCATCCATGAAGCGGTCAGCTCCTGAAAGAACAATAAATTAAGGCTTGCACTTCAAAGTTAGGCCGCCTCTCTGCCACTAGCCTGAAAAGAACACATCTGGATAGAGCCCTAGGAAGAACAGAGCCACAGATCCTGGGTCTCTCATCGCACCCTTTTCCCACCAGATGCCCCCTTGATGTAATTGGTCTATGAGCTGCAATCACCCACAGTGTGTGTGTGTGTGTGTTTGTTTGTTTGTTTGTTTGGAGTCATTAGGCTGGGGAAGGCTATGCTCATAGCATCTGGGGTCAAAGGTAAAGGTAAAAGTTAAGGTAAAGGTTCCCCTTGACAATTTTTTGTCCAGTCGTGTTCAACTCTAGGGGGCGGTGCTCATCCCCGTTTCCAAGCCATAGAGCCAGCGTTTTGTCCGAAGACAATCTTCTGTGGTCACATGGCCAGTGCAACTTAGACATAGAATGCTGTTACTTTCCCACCGAGGTGGTCCCTATTTATCTACTTGGATTTGCATGCTTTTGAACCGCTAGGTTGGTGGGAGCTGGGACAAGCGACAGGCGCTCCCTCCATTGCGTGGATTCGATCTTACGACTGCTTGGTCTTCTGACCCTGCAGCACAGGCTTCTGCGGTTTAGCCCACAGCGCCACCACGTCCCTAGCATCTGGGGTCAAAGCAGGAGCCAAACAGAGGAATGAGGTGGGTGGGAAGTATTCCCCTTTCTGTCATTTGTTTACTTAACCACTTACCATAGACCCAGGCAATCACCACACATTCCCAGAACGCCTGCCACAGAAGCGTGATTCCACTGGCTGAATAGTTGTCAAAGAGCTGAAAGACATACATGCCACCCTAAGACACAAGGTGACAGAGAAAAAGAACCAGTTACTAGATATGCTAATATGAAGAGCCTGTTATTGTATGTAAGGTCCCCAGTGTGGTGTACAGGATAGAGTAGTGGACCATGACTCAGGAGATGTGGCTTCAAATCCTTGTCCAGATGTGTGAACTCACTGGGCGAGTGGAACTGGTAAAACCACTCCTTAAATATCTCACTTATCTTGAAAGTCCTATTAGGGTTGCTACAAGTTGGATTTGACTTGATAGCACAAAACACACAAACACACACATTGCAGTTCGATAAATGCCAGTTGTTCTGAGAGGCAAACCACAAGACCTAGCCTGGAATGTGCATGTGTTCCATGTGTGCATCTATGCACATCTCTTTAGTGCCTCACACTGAGATAAGATACATTCAGTCTTCCACTGGATTTTTTTTCTTTGCAAAGAGTACCCTTGAGTTTAGGCACTTTATTTTTGTTTACAAATGTGAACGGCCACCCTCTTTTAGTGATTGATTTGGACATTTCTGAACTGCCTTTCAGAAGAGTCCCAGTGTGGCTGACAAAACATAGAAAAATGAACACGCAACACATACAAAACCGTTTTAAAAAACTGATTAACAGCACTTAAGGTGATTTAATTCTTTTTTTTAAAGCTAGGGGTATAAAATAATATTTCTCTAATGCCCACAGCATGACGATAGAAGCATCAAGTGAATCTCCCTGGCTGGAGAAAAAAAAGAAGCACAGCCTAAAGGTAGGCAATTTTTAATGAGAAGGCCCCAAGATCGGGTTACACCAGCAGGGTCAGCCCAGCCAGGGTTGAGCCCTTTTGGATCCATGGCCACCGTCTACCATTGCTATCTCCCAAGACTGGACTTGGAAAGGAGTATTGTCAGCTGACGACATTCGATGTTACTCTTAATAATCAAGAAGTGGCACTGTGCTTAGGAGAGTGTGGGAAGCTAACACTACATCCAGAGTTGTAGAGTAACCTGTTCTTGGGGGATCCCACCCCTCTCAGAGGACAGGCATACTCCATTCTGTACTGATTCGTTCTTCCTTTCCCAACCCATTCTGGACAACCACCGGCACAGTCCCCAGACAGGTTGGCCAGTCAGTGGTGAGCGAGGAGAGTTGTCGTTGACTGGGATCTAGGGCTGGGTGTGCCTGATGCTCTTCTGCCCGCGAGATCCGCCTCACCTGGGTCACCATGGAGAGATCGATGATGCAGCAGACCAGGCAGCAGAGGGCAGCCGTGATCTCCCTCCGTGGGGATCCTGCCGCTGGCTGTGGAAACAGGTCTAGGATGCCTGTAATGAAACCCTCCACTCCCACAAACTGAGGAGGAGATAAGGAAGAGAAAGAGAGAGGGGTAGACAGTCATCATCAAGTCATCACTGGGTGACAAACATTCTTTAATGGGGGGAAATCAAGAGTCTAGAAAAGTGAGCTTTTTCGGATGACATCTCCACGTATCCCTGCAGCCAGTGTGGTCTTGGCGTTTTTGCAACCTCGCATGCGGCCTGGAGTAAGCTGGGTTCAGAGGGAGCTTTCTGGACTGAGGGGGCTGTCAATCTATCAAGCAGTAACCCATTGCTCCTCCCCTGCCTCTGAAGTGAAAGACCCTCTGCTCTGAGCCACTTTCCCTCTCTTTCGTCAGTTGGAGTCAGTGAGTCTCTTGAGGCCTGTTGCTGAAAGTAGTCAATCAGGGTTATCAGTTTGAGACATAAATAGTAGAATTTTTTTTTTTTAAAAAAAGGGGGTCATTACTTTCAACAGAACAGATCAAACAGCAAAAATGACCAACAGGACTGCCTGCCTTCAGGAACAGGCCTCAAAAGGCTGACTCCCACTGAGCGATTGAGACAGTAAGAGCCAGTTGATGAGTAAAAAAAAAGGAGAGAACTAAACTGGGGAACTGGAAGCCATTCTGTGAATCCCTCCACTTCTGCAGGGCAGCTAGAGGGGTTTAACCAAATTTCAAAAACTCTGCAACATGCAGCAATCCTGGGTGCTGCACTGCAGAAAAGTCACTTTTCCAAACCTTAGGAAAAAAGGTGATATGGAGAGGCACTGAAACCCTTGGCATTGGCATTGTGGCCTCCCAAGTAAGGCAGCCACATCCCAAAGTCTTATAGGGTAGGGGTGCTAATTTAGGGCCCTGAGTAGTTCTTGCCCAGATGCTTTTCAGTTCATTTGCTCAGCAGCTATGAGCCTACAGCTACAGCAGAAGGCCCAGAGGACCACTGGCTGCCCTCTTCCCTCTTGGTATAAAGGTAAAGATTTCCCCTTGACAATTTTTGTCCAGTCGTGTCCAACTCTAGAGGGCGGTGCTCATCCCCGTTTCCAAGCCATAGAGCCAGCGTTTTGTCCAAAGACAATCTTCAGTGGTCACGTGGCCAGTGCGACTTAGACACGGAACGCTGTTACCTTCCCACCGAGGTGGTCCCTATTTATCTACTCACATTTTTACATGCTTTCGAACCGCTAGGTTGGCGGGAGCTGGGACAAGCGACGGGAGCTCACTCCATCGCGTGGATTCATTCTTTTGACTGCTTGGTCTTCTGACCTTGCAGCACAGAGGCTTCTGCGGTTTAACTCGCAGCACCACCACGCCCCTAATTCCCTCTTGGGAAGATCTCTTTAATTCCTGCTGTCTTAAGAAAACCCAAAATATTCTCAAATACTGGCAACTCACAATTTTTCTACTCTCCTCCTTCTCTTTAACTCGCAGCACCACCACGTCCCTAATTCCCTCTTGGGAAGATCTCTGTAATTCCCGCTGTCTTAAGAAAGCCCAAAATATTCTTAAATACTGGCAACTCACAACTTTTCTACTCTCCTCCTTCTCCCAGGATATAGTATAGTGCAAAATATTTATGAAACCCGCCACCCATAGCTATGTTCTGTAATCGTCTCTTCATGAAAAGTTCTGTGAGTCACTGCAGCCTTATCTTCCCACACCCTTTTCCTACCTGATATGAGTGGCTTACCTGGCTGTCCAGCCCTAGGACAAGGAGCATGAAGAAAAACAGGATAGCCCAAAGTGGGGAGAGTGGCATCAGCGTCACAGCTTTGGGGTAGGCAATGAAGGCCAGGCCTGGACCTGTTTTAAAAAAAACACCAAAAGATTAAAAAGAAATCCAACCAATAGGACTTGAGGGATGAGGAACATTCTTCGAGGATGAAATTCTTCTTTGTAGCAAATCAGGACCAATCACTGAATCAAGCCATCCTGTGGGGTTTATTCTGATGGGCGACAACATTCCAAGGGCTCTCAGCAGAGTTCCTTCCCACCAAGGCTACTTGGAACTGGTTTTTAAAAAGCGATACTTTTGCCTCTTCTGCATGCGACACCTGTGTGTCGTTCAGAGCCTGGAAAGTTTCTCTCTCTTTTTGGCTTCCAGCTCCCAGAATGCACTCAGCCAACATTACCTATGTGAGTCCTTGATCTGCTTCAGCACCGATCATGCTGGCTGGGGGGGGGGGGTCCTGGGAGTTACAGACCAAAAAAAAGCAACTTTTCCAAGTTTTGCTCCCATTACTGAGCTATCTGCACCCAGGAAAAAGAGCTCCCAAAGAGCTATAGGAAAAAAGGGGAGTTCGGGATGGGTGGGCAGGTTGGGGGCGGGCAGGAAGGAGGAAATCTGCCTTTGCTGGCACTCACCTGACTCTGCCACTTGGGAGATGTCCACGCCCTGCTCTGATGCCATAAAGCCCAGTACTGAGAATACCACAAAGCCAGCAAAAAAGCTGGTTGAACTGTTGATCACAGCCAAGATGTAAGCATCTCTGTAGAGAAGAGCAGGGAAATTAATAGCCACAAGGTCCCCTCTTATAGGACCACCTGAGAGCCCATGGCTCTCTTCCTGATAATAGCCGGAGGAAGCTATGATGCTTCAGGACAGGAAGCATCAGCCATGACGGCTGGGAAGCCTTCCTTTCCTTTTGACCTGGAATTCCTTTCCTCTCATCCCATGCGTGTCTGAACCAGCTGTGTGGTGAAAGAAGTGCTCTCTGTGCAGGATGAATGTACAGTTTTGTACATTCTAGGACTGAGTTTCAGCACTGCTTGTCAAAACCAATTAGGCAAACATTAAATTGTGAGTAGCAAAATGAAAGGTGAATGGAGATGATGTAAGGAAGAGACAGGTGAACTGGAAGAAATACATGGGGGGTCTGTGTATATTCTGCTCTAAACAACCAGAACCACAAACACACAGACCTCTGTACCAAGGCAGCACAAAATCTGCACTGAGAAATACTGAATTCTTTGACACTATGCAAATTGATCCTGTTTGCATAAACCTATCTGTGTTTTGCATAATTTATTAAGCTTCTGCTTGTTTGGGGACGACACAGAATCTGTCTCAACTCCTGTAAACCTATCCTGCTCAGCTCACTTGTGTATGATCACACTCACATCATCTACCGGCCCACACATTTGCAATCTGTATTTTTAGATTAAAAGCTAAACATTTTTATTTTTATATAAGTAAGACAGAGGCAGAGAGAGAGAGAAAGAGAGAGAGAGAGAATCCACTGACATTTACCAAGCTGCCAAGCTGTTTGCTTGCACAGAATGGCCAGAAGAAACACAAAGCTACAAATAAATGTTGTTGGAAGACAACATGTGGGTGAGAAACACAGAAGAGAACAGACGCTGCAGAGGGATGGCTTGAAGATATATTTGAAAATGCCTGTATAGCATTTTGAAGGCTATTCTTCACCATGACAGGAGCTAAAACCAAACTCTATTAAAAACAACAACAAATCTTAAAAAGCAAAGTTTCTCAAGGTTCACACAAAGCCAGGAGATTCCACATTTCGGCATGAAAAAGCCAAAGGAATCTCAAGGCTCAAGACCGTATCTGGGGCCTCACCTGTAGCAGTTGTTGTGGAAGCGGTTGTAGCTGCCAAGGGCGGTCAGGGCTCCCAGCCCGATAGCATATGAGAAGAAGATCTGGGTGCCCGCATCAATCCATACCTGGGGTGGGGGGGAACAGCCGTGGTATAAACCCCACCAGACGGGGGGGGAGGAGCAAACTTTGCATGGTCTGGCCACTGCCAGAGGGTACTGGCGGTCCTACATGCAAGGGCCTTCTTCCCTGCACAGGCATGAGCTGGAGCCTCCCAGATTCCCAGTTGCTTCCCCAATTGAAGTTTTCCACACCCCCTTTCTTTCCGAGTATACCATCCCAGTTCTTACCTGAGCCACAGCGAGCTTGGACCAATCAGGCTTCAGGTAGTAGATGATGCCATCCAGCGCACCAGGCAGCGTCACCCCATGTAAGAGCAGCAGGATGAGAACCACATAGGGGAAGAGTGCCGTGAAATATACCACCTGCCAAGCAACAAGAGGGTTAGATGACGGCAGCAGTTCTGGCAGGCTGCCAGATGTGGGGTGATGGCTCACATCCCCTTTGGCACACCAGGGGATGTGGATGCTTGGATTCATGAAAGGAAGAAGGGTCTCCTGGTAAAGCATAAGCCCAAAGGGGATGAAAGGCTGTGAGAAGAGAGGGAAAATGGCAGAAGGGCAAAGATCCTAGCTGATGACCCCCCCGGAAGTCAAGGCCAGCCGGCTCTACGGTTTGGTGGACTAAAAGCAGTCACGGCAGGCATCAGAGCTATCAAAAGAGAAGGACAGTATTTTAGTGATTTACTTTACTTAGCATTGAACCCTTTTGCATTCCTAACTGGAGCAGGAAAAGAGGCTTGTGGGATTGTGGGTTTTTCCCGTCTTCATTAACAAAATGACATGGCCAATTATGCAGTTTGATTTGGGCGCACGGGGGGGTGGGTTGCTTCTGCTTTTCTGCCTCAGAGAGAAAAATGTCTTGGGTCAATCATAAGAGTCGTCTCTCTTTTCTCCAGCTTATGTACACAGTCAAAGGGATGCTGGTTATAAAGGAGTATTAGTGTCTCTGATTTTTATATCTCACTCAGTGAAATACAGGTACAGTGGTGCTCCGCATAATGGGCACCCCGTTTGACGATGAATCCGCATAGCAAAGAAGATTTTGCGATTGCAAAAGTAATCGCTTTGCTATGTTTTAGATAGCGAAAAATCGCTTTGCGATGATCAGTAAGCTGTTGCGCTTACCAATTTCTGCATAGCGATGTTTTCTTTAACAGCTGATCGGCGGTTCCAAAATGGCCACCGGGTTAAAAAAAATGGCTGCCCGCTGTGTTTTCGCACCCTTTCCTCGCTTACTGGGCAGCGAAAATGGCGGCTGTATGGAGGATTTTCACTGAACTGTGAGTTTATTGCCCATAGGAACGCATTAAACGTGTTTTAATGCATTCCTATGGGCTTTTTTGTTTCATAAAGCGACAATTCCACATAGCGACGATTTTTCCGGAACAGATTATCGTCGCTATGCGGGGCACCACTGTATTTTTTTTCCGAAGGAATAAAACCAGAAAAATCATGATGTCACCTGACAGGCTGCCAGAAATATCCAAGGGCATTGCCTGGTTGCTACTGATTATGTAACATTCTTCCATACACCACAGTTCTTACATAAGGACTTCTGCTAATTGAGGTCATATGTGTCTGGGTTTGGTTGTTTTTCGGAGGTGGGGGGAAAGAAGATCCCAACCAGCACTGATGGTGCATCCACTCTCAAACAATGGCTGTGTGCATCAGGCCCCTGTCAGAAGCAGAAGCCGCTTCGGTGTTATCTGATTTTATCTCAAAGCTTGCGACCTTGGAAGTTAGCAGAGTTTCTGAACTAAAAACAGCAAATGCTGATAGATTTTTCATTAGGGACAATATCTTATACTTTACGTCATTACTGGCAACATGCATTTTTATATACAATTTCCTCCTAAGCTCCCACCACCATCACCACCATCAGCAAGCTCAATATGAGACAGACAAAGATAACAATTTCCCTGAGGGAACAACAGCTACCTTCCCGGTTGATTTGACCCCTTTCCAGATGCAAAAATACACGATAACCCAAGTTGTGAGCAAGCATAGGATGAGCTGCCAACTGAGTTCTCCTGGCTCAGAGAGATCCCCTGAAATTCGCAACACTTTTTTCCTGAAGGGTAAGACAGCAAGAGGAAAATTAGGGCTGAAGAGGTGAAGAAAAGAAAACAACAACAACTTTGACGGAGCTTACTATCTGGGCCGGACTCTGCTGTTAGCCAGGATAAGGCAATCTGCCTTAGGCAACAGATTTGGGGGGGGGGGTGTACCACGAAAAGATGTAAAATACTTGATAATTCGCTGTTTATTTTTAAATCAACCTGGAGATACCCTTTGGATTTATTTATTTATTTATTTACCTCAGGCACCCAAATGTTTTGGACACCCTATCTATCCAAATCAGACATCTCCCACATTTTTCTGCCTCCCCTCACAGGGGCCTAACACAGGGGTGTTTTCAGGAACCACTTGCTACCCCTTCTTCAAGGAGAGCCACACTTAAGCTGTTCCCGCCTGGGAACGAAATCACACTCACTCCCAAAATTCCATGATGGGAGAGCGCTTGTCAGCGAGGTCACTGCAGTTTCCGGCGATGGTCTTGTTAGTGCCGTTGGTGCTGCTGTTCCCACAGCCGCCCAGGCCAAAGAGCTCTGTGCACTGGGGAGAGTTCCACGAGTGGCCACAGGTAGCCCACGGCAAGGTCTCCGTCAAGGAGTGCACCAGGTAGAAGAGACCCCAAACGAGGATCATGATGTAGTAGGTGTTACAGAAGAAGACGATGACCATGGAGGCCAGGCCCAGACCTAAGGAGAAAAAGCAGGTCAGAACTACGCCCAGGAGGAAACTGAAGCCCAGGTATCAGTAACCTATTGTCTGAAGGAAGGACTCAGCTTGGGGTGGTAGGATAAGCATTCATTCCCCCTCCTCCAGTGCTCAGAACACAGGCCACGGCTAGGCACTGGGTACTTAACACTAAGGCCACGTTGGGGCTACCGCATAGAACTGGAATCCCAAATACTTAAGGACATGTACAGTATCTTCCTAATGCAACACTATACCGTGGTTTAATTTTTTTAAAGACTGCTGCATTAAAGATATTCAACAAAACCAAACATGTTTCAGCAAAGTCTTCCTCAATGTCTTTACAAAGATAAATGAAAACGACAATAATGAATCTGTGCCTTAGCCTCAATGTCTTTACAAAGATAAATGAAAATGACAAGAATAGTGAATCTGTGCCTTAGTTATCTACATTTTAAATTATATGAAGAGCAAAATTCTACTTAAAAGCACAGTTGTTAGAATGTAGGGAGATAAGGCTTGTACTGAAGACTTTTTCTTATGGACTTCTAAGAGTTTCCAGAGGGGGAGAAAAACGCTCAGATGCCAACTGCGACAGGGCAGCAGATAAGCCGGTTGTTAGCCAAAATCTGTGCAAAGTGTTAAGAATTCAGGAATATGCAGCTATTCAAACATTGTTGGATTGCAAAGCCCATGAACCACATGCAGCAGAGCCAATGGAGAGGGATCATGGCAGTTTGCAGTCCAACATCTGGAGGACAAGTTGCTAACCCCTGTGGTATGACCTCCTCTACACATACAGCAGAATGAGATAGCAGTGGATTGCATCATAGTAAAGTGCTCTAAAATAGGAGATCATATTTCAAGTGCTCCTCTTATCGGAGAAAGACAAAGAATGATACTCCTAGTATGTAGAAAACATGTGGAGATGGCTGTGCTCCCAGTGGGATTCGGGCAGCTGGAACCTTAAAAAATGAGAAGTTCCATGAGCTGATGTTGGATGCTACTGGTCAGTCACACCCTATGACTTGAATACATCTTAGGAGAAACGTAATGTTTTTCCTGTGCCTTTTCCCCTCTAATAACCCTCCTTAGAGCTCTGATATAAATTTTATTGACTTTAAGGAAATAGAAAACCTCTGGTTTCTCCTCTTTTTAAAAAAATTTGCATTATTTGCCTGGCACGAGCTCTTTCAAGGCACTTTCCTCCTTGCTGGGATTCCTTAGAAATCCTAACATGAGTTCTGCTTAAAGGCTTCATGTCTGAAGACATACAGGTGGCCCTGAGCTGCGGAGCAGGACCTAGGGAGACCTTTACCTTTGAAGAGAGGAGCAATGTTCCAGGCAGAGATCCCACCTTGCTTCATAAACTGCCCCAGGGCCACCTCCAGGAAGAAGACAGGGATCCCCCCAACAAAAACGATTAGCAGATAAGGAATCAAGAAGACACCTGCGCAGAAAATGGGAGTCAATGCGACGTCCATAGTTAGCCGTGCTTTTAAAGTGCATCGGTGGGACATGGTGTTCTTCGTGGCGGTGATGAACTGGCAGAACGCCTTCCCCTAAGAGATGGGTTAGGCTCCCTGCACTTTCAATAAATAGTCAAGCAGGATTTTAGCAGCCTACTCTGCATCCTTATGCATGTCCCTCTAAGAAAAAGCCTTATCAACATTAATGAAGATTCATTTAGTGTGTTCAGGACTGTGGCCTGGGTGCGATTTGAACCAGTCTATCACCCTGCGCAGCTGGATGGATAGCTCAGTGGTTTAAGTCTCTGGCTGTGGAGCCAGAGTTTGGGAGTTTGACTCCCCATTCTGCCTCCTGCAAGCACAGCCAGAAATGGGGAGTTGTTGGAGAATTATCTGGCCACAAACCACTTAGAGATGTGAATCGAGTACTCCCAAGACTATGCCTTCAGCATTACACTACAGTGTTTTTTTTCCTCTTTTTCATTCCCCATCCCTGTGGTCCATTTCTCTGTGTGCCAATACATGCTATTATGGAGCCTGATGTTTCTGGTTGCTGTTTTGAGTGTCCCCTCCGCCCACCCCCACCCCCACATTCAAGCCTGGAAATAAAACAGAGCACAGGATTCAGATATCCAAACCAGAGGTTGGAAAAAATTGCTTTTTGGAAATCTAAGGCTGCCCCCCTCAGCTAGGTAGCCTACCTAGTGGCCATGCTGACTGGAGGATTTTGGGAGCTGTCATTTAAACAAAAGGTAACTTCTCCAAGATCTGACCCTGATATTCCAGCTCTTCCGTGGCTATGGCCTAGCACAGTAATACTGACTCCTTTTAAGGGGCCAGGTTCATGCACCAGGTCTTCATTTTTCCCCTTTTTCAGAATTTCAGATTTTCAAACTGCTGAGCTTAGGCAAAATGTGTATCAAAATGTCAGGACCCATGCTTTTCAGAGGGTATTGTAACAAATTGTAACCTTCCCTTCATACGCATTTTGAATGTGCGGGCCAAAGGAATTATCAACCAGGCCAGCAATTTGGACTGGAAGGATTCATTTGATGATTTTTCAACACAGGTGTTTTTTTGTTTTGTTTTGTTTTTTGTTTTTTTACTGATGAGGAAGAGTGCTTGGGTACCAACTTTTTTTCTTTTTCTTTTTTTTTCTTTTCTTTTTTACTGATGAGGAAGAGCGCTTGCTATACTTGGGTACCACCATGGACTGAACATTTTTCTTTCTATGCTAAAAGCCTTTGCAGAAGAAACCACCCAGTTCTGCTCAGCGGCTGGTCCTCGGCCACTCTTAGAATCTGCTTGCAAAGTCTGCAGCTGGTTGGGGTTCACTCTTTCTCTCTCTCAGTGAACCAAAGTGATTTGCTGGGAATTGCTAATCTGCTCAGCCCATTTAGGATTTGAGAAGCCAATGAATAATGTGCCTGCAGATACTCCCATTTCTCTCTCTGTCTCCCTCTCTGACCATGTGATGTTATCTATTCTTATTCAGCTGCGAATGTGGTTTGTGCTTTTCCCAATGGCGACAGAAGGCAAGAGTGGAAGACAACAATCACAATCCCACAAAGAAAGGGAAGACAAGCTCAATGGAGTGAAATTGCCGCTATTATTCAGAATCCACAGCCTAATTTTGAAGGTATGGTTTGGAATCATTCTGTCAGTGCAGGAACTTTGGCAGAAATGGTATAGGCTGCTGCCTCTAAGCAAGTATAGAGTTCTTCCCTCCCACCCCTGATGACTCCATTAGCCTCTCCCTGCCCTACCTGGTATCTCTACATTTCCCCACACCCAGAAGGATGTTATGATGGAGCCAAACTATTGGTTTTGCCATCAAAGGCAATTTGAAAGATAGAATTCTGCTCAAAACCTGGTAACCCCTTTTGCTGCTGATAAATGGGCTCGACAAAGGAGTTGCTCTTCTAGTCATTTTTCAGATCTGTCTGACCAGAGGTCACAAACGGACAAATGTCTGTCTGTATCCCATTGGAAAGAGAGTCTCTCCTTAAGCTTTTCTGTCTCTCTGATTCACTTGAGCTTCATCAGATCTTTTTTTCTGAAATTATGCACTGTTAGTGCCTCATTTCTATGGCAGATGTTCCGATTCTACAGCTGCAAAACAGCTTATTTTTATCCTGTCTGGTGCCCTTCAATTCATGTTGAATTACAGCTCCTTTCATTCATTGGCCCCGCTACCTATCACTGGGGCTGTGCTCTAATCTAACTGGAAGGCTTCAGATTTGGGAAAGTTACCTTTGGTAGAGCAATGAAACTAAACAATGATTACTGTGGTGGCACAACACATTGTAGAGCTGTGTAGGAAACAGGCAGGCTTATACAATTTTCATATGTGAATGAGAAGATATTGCCATATTACTATTCCCACAGACTTCAGCCCATGTTTTAATGCATCGCCAAATTCTCCCCATCCTCTGAACAGGTGCTACTGTCTCCATACCTGTGGTACTAAATCTTACCACTTGAGGTAAACACAGTTGCTAGAGGAGAGCTGTAGCTACCCATAATGCATCAGGACACAGCATGGGGAAAGCTTATACAGTGGTGCCTCGCATAACGAGTGCCTCGTATAGCGACGAATCCGCATAGCGATCCCTTTTCTGGGATCGCTAATGCGGAGGCATCGCGTCGGCCCCAATGGGTGAAACTCGCATAGCGAAGATTGGTAAGCGTTTGGCGCGGATCAGCTGTTCGGCGGTTCCAAAATGGCCGCCGGACACCCGAAATGGCCGCGCGCAGCGTTTTCGCGCCCTCCCCTCGCTTACCGAGGGTGCGAAAATGGCTGCCGGACCCAGGAAACTTCGCTAAACGGTGAGTTTTCAGCTGATTTGGATGGCTTTTTACTTTCCATTTAACGAAGTTTTCACATAGCGAAGGTTAATCCGGAATGGATTAACCTCGCTATGCGAGGCACCACTGTATTATAACCGCAAAAACAATAAACAGAGCTAGGAACGGCCGTAGTTGAAAGGTACTAGAGAAAGAAACATTAGGTTCAGATGCCCAAAGTGCCTTAGTTGTGAACCTTGGATAACCCAAGTGTTCTTGGACGGCAACTCCCAGAAACCTCAGCTAGCGCAGCTGGTGGTGGACACTTCCGGGAGTTTTAGTCCAAGAACATCTGGGTCACCTAAGGTTGGGAACCACTGTTTGAGTGGTAAGCTGTTCTTTAAACATAAACAGAAGCTCCTCTCCCCCCCACCACCAATACGACCATCATGAGCCACCTCTGAGTCAGAAGACTTGTTTTTCCTCAAAATTTATAGTTTTAAGCAGGGAGATACTTCCAATGCTCACCTGGAGTGTTTCCATCCCATAGAAGCCCAATTCTCAGCTCCTCCATCCTAGAACAGTCTCTGTACGAAGACACCCCAACAGCTACTACTATATTTGGCCCTGATCCACAGCCAAAAAGCCCTGTTGCCCCCCCTAAGTCACTGCCCCCTCACCTCCTCCGTTCTTGTAGCAGAGGTATGGAAAACGCCAGACATTGCCCAGGCCTACAGCAAAGCCAACACAAGACATGATGAAATCCATCTGCCGGGTCCAGGTCTCCCGCTCGGGAAAGGGCGGCTTGGCTGGGCCCATGGGTACCACGAGAGGGGCCGTGATGGCTTTTTCTTCAAGGGTGGACCTCCCCTTGCCACCCGTTGGTTCAGCACTCTCTGCCTCAGCCACCTCTGAGCACCCACTGCCCTCTGTGGAGAGAACAACCAGGTGTTAGGCCAAACAGAATAAACTGTATTAACGGTTGAACCATCTCGGTCAAGATACACTATGAATTAGGACACCAGGGGAGCTGAACAGGACACCTTATTTTGGAATTCCTTTTGACCACTTTTTAAATCTGATTTTCAATTCCCCCTGTCCCTGACACTACCATTGTAGATTTAACCTTACCACCAGGGCTAGAAACTTAAATTTGAAAAAGGAATTACAGCTGCAGTATCAATTACTAGAAATCATTTAACTGCACATCACACATATAAATTTATTTGTAATTATACAAAAGTGCTTTTCCTTGGAAGAGAATTTAAAGAGGGAACCTAAGGTTCAACAGTAATTTATCTCCCCCCCCCCAATATAGCTTCCTCATGTACAAAATCACTTAGCTATAGATTAGTTTTTCTGCAGGACACCTTTTGAAAGAACAGGTCTGCTGAGCTGGAATTTGTGTCCCAAGCTCCTCTGCAATGTTGCAAAGCACCTTGGGGCACGCTTGTCAAGACTGCTTAATGGTTGGCTTCCAACTGCATGGGGACACAACATCCTCTGTGTATATCAGTTTAGTTATTATAATGTTTATCCATACGTATGTGGGTGCTGTTTAGATTTTCTTCAGTTTAGTTATTATAATGTTTATCCATATGTGGGTGCTGTTTAGATTTTCCGTCTGTGGCACAAAAATATTTAGGCAGTCCCGCATTATTATTCTAATAAGCCTGTTCTAAAAATATAGTGGCCAATACAATTACCTGGAATGCTTGTTCACACTTACGCAGACCTTATCAACTGGTCTGTGATGTTCATGGGCAGACTGGTTAATGCCTGGGAAAGAGGGTCCCTCTCCTTTCATTGTACACTTACAGGTTATGTAGGACAGAGCTATGGTCCTCCAGATGTTGTTGGTCTCCACCAACCCCTGCCTGCATGGCCAGTGGTTGGGAATGACTGGAATAGCAGTTCCTCAATATCAGGAACGATACAGGTTCTCCATCCCTGATGTAGGGATTGTAATCTGGTTTAATTTCCAAAGGAGGGGCCATGTTAATCTGTTGCAAGAACAACAACATAACTAAAATCCTCTGACCCCTTAAAGACCAAAATAAATTATTATAGATTTTAAGGACTGTACATGGACATTTGTGGGCTGTAGTCCAGAAAACCATGTTACAATAAATTAGCTAATCTTTAATCTGGTTTAGTAATTGTTTCTACAGAGCCAGGGAAGTGTGGTAGTAAGCCCAAATCAAAGACTAAAGAGGTCAAGGATGTGATCTTGTGTCCATGAGGTGCCTGCAGGGTGTCTTTCACTCCTGTATGGAGGAAGGGGTCAGTGCAAAAAACGGCAGTGTCCAATCCATGCGTGTATAAAGACGGCTTTGGATTTGCCAGTGCTATGGGCTTGCTCTGTACTCTTTTGTTCCCCTGGGAATAGAATGACACACTGCCAGCCAAAAATCACTGCCCCCCCCTCCCTGCCAGGGAACCTTCTTGGCATCCTAGCTTTTTTAGCCATCCCTGTTTCCCCCTTTCGCCTAGTGCCAGATACCCCAGAAATACTTTGATAGCACAAGAAGCACAGGAATTTTCCAGGCGATGTTTTATATAATAAACACAAACCCTTAGGGGGGAAAAAAAGACAGTCTAAATAAACCACCCTCACTCATTCTGGAGTCCTAGTTTCAACGTCACAATGCAGGGTGGTGAGTCACCCACTAGGCAGTGATGCTGAATCCACACACAGAGAGAGACGCACACACAAGATAGTCACACAGCAGTTACCCACATGCACAATAGACTCACACATGCCGCTACACCAGAGTGTGTGCTGGACAGGGCACATGTTGCTTTGTGGTCTACCCAGTCCCTTAAAGGACTGAGGGCAAATCTGAAGCCAACTCCTCTTCCTCAATGAGTCTTTTTTTTCTTTCTTTCAGAAGCTTCTGCTAAAGGCAAACAAAGCCCCCTCCCTTTCTCTGGTCAACTGCAAAGATTGCCACACCAGACACAAAGCTGAAAGAAGAACAGGGCAGGAGCTGTGCAGGGCGATGCCATTTTTAGCAGTCTCCTGACCCAAAGTGAAACTGCCCCTTGTTATGAACAGGACTGTCTCCCCAGTCAACTTATCCTTCTTTTCATTTGAAAGAGGAACGCCTTAGCATCCCGCAGAAGGCCAGCAAATTGCTTTTGTGCCGACAAGCCCTGGCAAAACCCAGGAAAATGACCCATTTTGGACAAAACAAACAAATAATAAAGCAAAGGGGGGGGGAACAAAGACCAGAGACAGGGGCAGAGCAAGGCTGCCTGGCACAGTCCAGACACAAAGCCCCTTTCCCCGTGTCTGGCTCCCCTCCCCCCCCCCGCAGCCGGCATGCGGCCCAAGGCCCTGGCATGTGACAGAGCTAATCCCTACTTGTGGGGCTGAGGCTCTTGTTCAACACCTCCCTTCTTCGTACTTGGATCCATGTTTTGGTTGGCAGTGGTAAAGGACGTTCAGCTGAGTGATAAGACCACCTGGAGCACATGCTTTTTCTTTGGGGAAAGGAAGGGGATGCAGAGCAGGCAGGAAAGGTGGCGGGAGGGTGGTAGTAACACGCTGAACACAATTCTGCTCCCCTTGGTCTCCCTCACCCACCCACCCACCCNGCCTTATAAGGGCCCAAGAAACAGAACTCTGCAAGTTCTTGCCTTCTGCAGCTTCATTCTTCTGGGGAGAACCAGCTTGTACCAGCAGGGCATTGGCAACAGCCTGCCATCACCATGAAAGCCAGCTCAGTGCCCTCACTCACTGGTGCCACATAACCGATTCATACCCCACTGGCTTCACATGAATGAGCCTGGAACAATGACGTTGGTCACCACTCCCAATTCTGTATTCAACAACCACTAAGTGAAACGAGACCCGCTGCTACTTATCTTTTAAGAGCAGGACAGAAATCACACTTTAATCACATTCAAAAGAGCTTAAAACGGCAAGGATTAGGTATGTGTCCTGAGCAGAAGAGTGAGCACAGAATAAAAAAAGGGGAGAAATGAAGACGCTTCCTGGCAACAAGAAGCAATGAGCAGGAACAGAGGCACTTGAAGAGGGGGGGCGAAGGACGTTCCCCTGGCACGCTGAAGAAGAAAGTAGGAAAGGTGGACTGGCCAGCTGCCTAAGCCAATCACTTCCAGGAAGCCCAGGGAGATCTTACAAGCAGCCTTTGAAAGGGCTGTGGAGTCTATTGTGCTAACTTTTACCCCAAGCCAAACTACAGCATTCCTGCTTACCTTCATTCCAGTGGGCACCTGAAGAATGCCAGAAGTGCCATTTGGAAAATATTTCTGGGCATGCTGGAGATAAGATGTTGCACAATCCACAAAACTGTTGCGTACCTGAAGAACCCACCACAGTGAGAACTAGATGGGCAGCAGGGAATACCCCCCTTGTGGCTTCCTGTTGAATTCCTCCCAACAATATATATATACACGTACATACTGAAAGATGCCAATGTTGCCCTGTGCAATGTCCTTACCTGAACATGTTTCGGTGGGCACTGGAGCCATAGCACTGGGCTGGCGGCAGGGCTCCGTGGCAGAAGACTTTTAAGACGGGTGTTGGGTTGGGAAGCTGGCTCCGGGTCTGGGAGGGGATCGGGGTGCAGGCTCAGAAGCAATCCACAAAGCACTTGAAAGTGAGACGAAAGAACCTCATTGATGGGGATTTACGCCAGGGAAATGGGCAGTGGGCAAGGGTTGGAGCAGGGCCTGTTGCTCAGAACCAGGCAGCACGGACCAGGCTGAGCAGATGCTCCATTGCTCAGCTCTAGCACCGGAGCAATGCTACTTGGGGGAGAATGGACAGGGAAAGGCAACTGCTTCTGCTCCTATTCCCCTCCCACTGTATGCCTCATTGGCTGCTGGGCCTGGCATCAGGCCGGCTTGCTGCATTCTGGGAAACGGAGTCCACTTTGCTGCTGGGTACCATGGAGACGCAGGAGGATGGAGATAGGCAGGTGCATAGCGGCTTGGTAGCCCAGGAAACAAAGATTTCATGCCTTGACAATTGCACAGGAAAATCCTCACCATTGTTTTTAAGCAGGGGTCTGTCTACTAGAAAAACTAAGAACTGAATACAGTCAGCCATTGATTCCAGCTGTTTCCTACTCGCACAGGCTAAAATATCATTAAGTATTACCAGCCTAAAGCTTTCACTTGCTGCAATGTGTGTTTTGTTTTGTTTTTGTAATCATCATAAGATAATTCAGCCTGTTCTTATGGTAAGGAATTTTATAACGTTTTGCCCTGATTCAATTATTTATGACTGAAATTTGCTAGTGATGTGCAAGATGACTAATGCAATGTTTTTAATTGTTACAAACGAAGACAATCTTGTGCAGTTGCACTTCTCCAACCTCCCAATTTAAAACCTAAGTAAAGTCTATCTGTGTGTGAATGCAGGGCTACGTGCACGTACACACAGCAGATTCTGGCCCTTTATCTTTATTGTTTTCATTGCCCTTTTAAATGAACTGCCTGTATGGGTTGAAGATGTATGGGTTCAAGAGTTTCAAGGGCTTTGGCTATATGCAATAAAAGTTTTACTTACTTAACACTGCCCATGGGGGTCCAAGTATTTTCTAAACTTTTGATAGTGACCTGTTGTTTCCTACTTCTGTGTAAAGTCATGAGGTCTTGTTTTTTTTATTAATGGTAGAGTGGGTTCCCCAAAGCTAAACTATTTCCATATTGCATTCAATCTAGCACTGGAGGCCCCTAGCTGGAGGGTTGCATTTTCTGAGCATAGCATGGCATGGCAGGTTGTACCCGAAGCAACTGAACTCTTGGTAATAAGAGTGAACCCAAAATGCCTCATCTGAAATAGACCCCCAAACCTGTTGCAACATTGTCAGTTAAAGAAACTCTTCTGGTTCAAAGTATAGGGAACTTCTGGCCCTTCAAAGGTTTTTTGGACTACAGTACTCAACAGTTCTTTAAAAATTTTTTAAAAAATTCTTTAAGAGTCAGGGAGTTGGAAGACAAAACAAGGTGGGGGGGGGGACAAAAGGTCTCCTGCTTTAATGTGTCTGTGAGATCAGCTAGCAGTTTACCAGGAGACCTTAGGAACACTGTTGTTCAGCTTCTCACCAGCTTTCCTTGACTCACACAGATGTATAATACTAACTCCACATTAATAACAACAAGGGCAACTCAGAAAAAGCATGGCAAGCTTTTTCAATGTTGAAAAAAATAATAATAAAATAAAATAAAATAAAAAAGTGTTACATAAATACTCAGTATTATTATTGTAGCTACTTATGCATGTTATGTATCAAGTTTCTTCTTCATTTTGTCCCAAACCCCCCCTCTCTCTCTCACACACACACACACACACACATACACACACAGAGACCCTATTACAAGCTCATGAGAATTCAGATCGGGGGCACATTCCCATGGATGGCCCGCACTGTTACCATGGTGTCAAGCCAGCAAACAATTCCCCGTCCTGTAGTTAAGTCTCCACATAGCAGGCAGCAACCAGGCTCACAGGACAAACAGAGGGCCCCTTTTCTAAGGCAGAGGAGCGAAGGGTTGAGCCTGAGAACATGAAGGGAGAGGCAGGGCCCCAGCCAGAGCCCTTTGTCATGTGAAAAGGAGGCCAAGGATGTCCCCCCCTCCCTGGGTCTCGCTCCCTGATAGAAAACCCATTCGGTCTTCTCTCAGGCATCTGTGTAAAAATGTAAAGGCAGACCCAAAAGAGGTAATGAAACGACTGAGCTATGTAGCTTAGCAGTTTTCAGCCTTCCCAACCTTAGGAGAGCCTCCCCCCCTCCAGTGTCTGCCGAGGAACCTTTAAAGTGTAGCAATTCCTGGAAAACATTTTTGGGGTGCATTTTTGGGGCTAAATAAACCAGGATGGTGGCAAAGCAAGCTAGGGGAATATGTATGGGTGCAATTTTTAAAAGAAAAAAAAAGAAGAGGCACATGGACTAGAGTTATTACCATGATTTACCTCTCCACATGTATCCCCAAAAGTGCTTTTTCTCCTCAGCAGTTGGAGGCTAGATGAGGAGAAAGGCACTTCTGGGAGGAAATTGTAAGGGACCAGAAAAGGTTTATTTCACTTCAGTCACTATCCCCCAACCATAAAAAAAAGATCTTCTCATCTCCTCTTGCTCAGTCCACATAGGGTGCTGGGCTCCTCTGTTGCCCAGCCAAGCTGTGGTATTATATACCATGTGAGGCAAAAGACAAGATAGTATCTACTCCTCAAACAGAAACTCAACTCAATCTGAGCCTGCAAGGCCACCTGAGGGACTTCCAAGACCAGCTGGGTAACAGTCCTGACATCTTTTTAACAGGAAAGATGGACCTACTTCCTGCTCCACATGAACTAAGAACCTAATGTTTATATTTCCCTGGCTTACTCTTGTACTTTCCATCAATTCCATTTACCATTGACTTAAACTCTACTAATAGCCATATCTGCATTATTTCCTATATCCCACACTTACTTGTATTCCCGTTCCCCTCCTAATTCAAATTTTTTTGGGGGGAGGTTCCCTTGAGGTACTTCGCTCATTAACTCTGAAGCCAAACCACTTCCACACAATGGCTTTGCTCGTTTCTGTCTAAGCTGCTCATGTCTTACAACATGAGTTTGCCAGGGGACAAATGACAGAAGCTGGTTCTTTTCTCACAGGTATCATTCTGAGGCTCAGGTGGAAACCCTTTAGATTGTCCAGAGGCTTTGGACTCTTCTAATTTCTTTGCTTTCTGATCAGTTCAGAAAGTGTAAAGAGAGAAGGAATTGATGTTTCTTTTAGTTTGCCAAATGTTCACAGCTCAGTAAGCTTGTGTGTGTGAATAAATGCATGAGAGTCTACCTTTTTAAATTTCTCAAAGAGTAAGAGTAACCACCGCTCCTATCTAAATGACACAACCCTTTTGTTTATCTAAGCTACATTTGCTTTTCAACTAAGAAGAAACTTCAGCATACAATTTAGTGTCTATTCCTTCCAACTCTATAAGATAAGACAGCCATTTCCCACACATACCTCCATGTATGAAATCCACATCAGAGAAAACTCTTGTTCTCAAACATTTTAACTGATATAGTAACTTCTGAGTTTGGTGTAAGCACACAATGTACTGGCTATCATCTCAATAACAAAGATGGGAAGGCTGGCCTCTGTTACATCTGTTTTTCATATACTTGATAAGGTAACCCAGCCATGATGCTGAGCAAAGGTAGCAACTTTTACATTGATATGCTTTGTTTTAATCATATGGAAAAAGATATTTCTTCAGAACTGATAAAGTAATCTGTAAGATTCTTCCGGTGGGACGTGGTGGCGCTGCAGGCTAAACCGCAGAAACCTGTGCTGCAGGGTCAGAAGACCAAGCAGTCGTAAGATCGAATCCACGTGATGGAGTGAGCTCCCGTTGCTTTGTTCCAGCTCCCGCCAACCTAGCAGTTCGAAAGCATGCAAATGCAAGTAGATCAATAGGGACCACCTCGGTGGGAAGGTAACAGCGTTCCGTGTCTAAGTCGCACTGGCCATGTGACCACGGAAGATTGTCTTCGGACAAACGCTGGCTCTGTGGCTTGGAAACGGGGATGAGCACCGCCCCCTAGAGTCGAACACGACTGGACAAAAATTGTCAAGGGGAACCTTTACCTTTACCTAAGATTCTTCCATTTGCTGGCTCTAATCCGCAAAAGCTTATATCATGCATATCTGGCATCTTCCAGATACGCTGTATTTACAACTAGCATCACCCCAAGCCAATAATGATGAAAAGTATTAACCAATACTTCTAGAGAACAACAGATTGGGAAAATTTGGTTTATGCCACAATAAAATCCATCTGATTTGCCAACAAAATATTTGTCATGATAATTAGTACTAAATCTTGCAAATGTCAGGTGTACATGGTATCTCTGAATAATGGAATGCATACAGTAGTTCATGGCATAAATCCAGTACACTTAAGCAAGTGTGCACATAGCGGGGAAAAGAGTCAAAGGGATACTTCTGAGAACAACTTTTCCTCATGCCAAGAGCTCATGGCAGCCTAGCATACATTTTATACAGGAAACAAACTGTGCATCCAATCCTTTTTCACTCTAACAGCAAAGATGCAGGTCCTGATTCAGGTTGCAGTTTTATCAATTCATGGTAATCTCCAGTCTGGAACTCTCTGCTCGGGGGGTCATGCTAGCAGAGACGAATCACGCAGACACAGGAACAAGCAGCATTGAGTAGAATTTAATGACTCAGGACCCAAGACAAACACCAACTTTATACAAAGAGAGAGCAAGACAGAGGTCTCCAGAAGGGCCTCATTTGGTTACAGCAAGTCATAGCATGGGTAAAAAGGAGAGGGAGCTGAAGACTTAAATAGAGGTGATGATGGCAGTGGTTTCCCACCCCAAGGAAGTTGCAAAGGGAGAAGAAACCGAACATATTATTGGGGGGGGGGAAACAACGCGTGGGGAGAAGGCATGCTGTAGAGCAAACCACAGTACCAGGCCTTCTGTGTAGAAGGAAAAAGGCAAGGAGGTGCCAACCAACGGCCCCCCTCCCCCTAATTGTCAGACTGGGTAATGCTGGTGAAGGGGCCCCCATTTTTTAAAAAAGCCAAAGGAACAAAGGACATAAGGAGATGTACACCTCCCTAATGAAGGCTTTTACAGCCAAAAATGTGTCCTGAGCTTAGAAGACCAAGAAAGAATAGACTTGGGAGAGAATGGAAAGGGCAGGCAAAAAGGGACCGTGGAAGTTTGTTAAGCAGGCACCCATGGTATGGTGAACTGGGAGAAGGCCCCTTAGGGGCAGACACCAAGGACCCCACCCCCAGCCCCACCCATACGACAGGTTACGGATGCAACAGAAGGTGTTCAAGGCTCACCACAGTTCATCTGCCTTTGAGACAGAGGACAAAACTAGAGCCTCTAGGGCAAGGAGAGCAGCTTTGGGGATTGCACTGGGGGCTCAAGGATTTCCCCCTGCATGCTGGCATAGAGCCGCCTCTAGCAGGGGACACAAAAGGAACCTTCCCAGCTTGCAGGGGAGGAGGACGTGGTGGAGCAGAAAGTGCTTGAGTGCTGAAGAAAAGGTCACAGCAGCTCCTCCTCCTTCCCACTGCAGGGGGTACGCCAGGACGCGGTGGGAGGGGGGGGAGCCACAAAACAAAGCCTTCTTATGTACACCCCACCCCACCCCAGTGTAGAATGCCTTAGTCAACTTCTTCCATGTTGCTGTAGGATGGCGTGGGATGCTCTACAACCCCTTCCGGTGCCAGTGCAGGAGCAACATCAGGGGCCAGGCTGGGTCCAAAGGGCGGTGAACTAATTCCCTATAAACAGAACAAAGTGTTAGAAGGGAGGTTAAAAAAAAGAGGCACAGAGTTTCATACACTGGAAACATATACAACTCCTCCCCAGCTTTGTTAAAAAAAATGGCGTATTTGCTTCTCTTATCCTTTTAATTATTCTGCGGCACAATAACTACAGGTTATTGTTTTGGCAAGCCAAGCAGCATGGGTGCCTACTTTGAAAGACAAAAGAGTTTGTGAAATACAGTTCACCTATAGCCGTTACCTAGAGTTCTCTTCCACCCAGTCCTAAATGGTCTGCTATTAGGGCTGCACATAATCTTCTCCAAAATTTGTTTGCAGAATCCTATGGCAAAATTCCCTGAATTCTGCACTCAGAAAATCTGAATTCTTCAATCTGCATGACATATTAGCTCAGTGTATATAACATATTCTTCCTTCGATTAATATGGAGTGGAACAAAAAGTTAAGCAGTACAAACGCTCCTTCTAGTGACTGGAAGCTTTGCCAAGTCTCTCATTTGACTTCATAGAACTCACTAGACGTTGTCCACACCCTTCTAAGGTATTATTTATAGCTAAAAAAAATTTAAAGTTAGATCCTGGGAAATCCTTACCTCTCATTCTCTTGTGGACAATCTGTCAGGGACACTATGTTGGCAGTGGACAAGGCCAAACCCTCCCCCCCCCCACCTAGTGGTCTCAAGAGGGGAGGAACAACTTGCCATTTGCCAGAAATCCTGGATGGATCTCCTGCAGAAATCTTTCCCATGCTCCATTGACTCTGGGTGCCACATTTTCCTTCCTTGCCAGATGTTTCCCAGAGAGAATGCCCCCACATTTCCATTCCTGTGCCCACTTGCCCCATTCCTACTTGTTTTCCTTTCTTCTGGATGAGACAATGGCCAGACTAACCACTTCAGTTTTAAATGACTGTTCTGCAATCTTTAGGTTCACACAGAGCTCTGTTCCAGCCCTTCTATGGCAGCTATGGCCTCTCTATTGCCTTCTTCTCTAGTAGCAATATCTCACAATACAAGAAACAGACCAAGCCATTCCCCAGCCCCTCTAACAAAGAAACAGAACCAGCATCAGGCCTGTGAGTCTTTAGGAAGATGTCCATGAACAGGCAGAGACTCACAGGATCCTTTAGCTAATTTTAAAGGGGCTGCTAAATCAAATAGGAGTGGCAGACAGGAAAAGAAAGGTGTCTGACCATATTTCTTTAGAACAGGTTAGATTTATTAAATACAATAAATAAATATTGTGAAAGCTTTCCCAAAGCACAATGAATGCCTTTATCCACCAGGCTGGCAGAGTATATATGACTCAGGGATTTTTTCCTCCTCAGTGTGAGCTGACCCCCACCAGAACAATGCATGGATCAGGCTGTGTTTTTTGGCACTACGTGGCCTGGAAGTGCCCATTCCTGCAGTACAACAAAGATAACTCAAGTGTTGGCACTGGCGGCAAAGCCAAATCTCATTCCTTTTTTCCACAAAAACAGAAAGAAATCCCTCTTTGAAAGTGCCAAGATCGATGCGTAGCATGTTGTTAAATTTATAATCCACATGAGCAATAATAACTACCAACTGCAATTATATGTATGCCACAGAAGGGTCCTGGGAAAAATTAAACTCAGCAAGACAACCAAGGGCCCACATCAGGATATTTGGCGCAGAACTGATTTTAGATTTAGATTAGAAGCACAAGAAGGATCCTGTGTTGCCTATAGGGAACCATAGCTTGCAGAGCTGAATTAAAAGAATACAAGGCCATACAATTGTGAGTCCAAAAAGACCCCCCCCACTTCTACTATCTTGTGTGTACAGACACACAGGCATCCACAGAGAGAAGGAACAGAGATACATGTAAGATGCTGTATTCTGTACTGTAGTTGGAACCTTGTGCTATTTAACATTTAGCATTGTATACGTTTGGGTAGATGGAGAAGAACAACATGAGAAACTTTCCTTCACACCTTATATTCAAGTGAGCCTTGTGCCAAGACAAAACATGTAAAGATGACATTGTTAAAAAGGGGGGGGGGAAGGAAGACAATTGTGATTTACTTGATGGCCTCACTATGAGGAATCTAATCTCCTCAGGTTGAAGAGTGAGCGTTGCACTGTCCCTTCCCAAAAGGGAAGAGAACAGATTCCCATTCAGAAAGATGGTCCGTCTTCCGTGATCAGCACTCATACTCAGCTCATAAAGCTGGCACAATCTTCAAATACTAGGCACCAGAGAAGGGGTCGGGCGGGCTGAAAAGCTATCCCAAGGCAGAGAATGGTCAGCACAAACATATTACCATCCAGTGAGAGATATCTGTAGATAAGAGGGTTCTGCTGGAGTTCCTGTACATACATTTACCAGGCCTGGATTCAAATGGACTGAAGTCTAGGAAAGGGTCAGTTCCATTATGGTACTCCAAGTGGCCAAGCCATCAAGAACCTTTTCCCAGTCACAAGCCAAGTAGTCATCCAAGTGGAAGAAAAGAGAGGAGATTCTGGACTTGGCATCTTCTCCATGTTGAGGTGAAACAGAGTGTCTTCGTGCACCTATCTGGTGATGAGCTTCCTAGCCCTTCACCAAAGAGATGCAATGGAGGCGAGCCAAGGCTGCAATACACTGGCTGCCCCCTACCTAAAAGCCCCCTCCTGGTGCCCTGCTGCTGCTGCTGGTGCGGCTGCTGCTGCTGCTACCTCCAACGGGTCTGATAGATGAGAGGATAGAAGACATTCAGGAAGAGGGCCACGATAGCCGCCATGGTGCCCAGGACAATGTATCGGACATGGCCTTCATCAGGACATTCAGAGGCAAGGTTCTTTGCTCTTCGGCTACAAGACCTCCAAGGGCTCCTCATCCTGGCAGCTTCCTCTTCAGCCTCCAGTTCCTGCCAGAGCAGAGAAGCCTGCGATGTGGAAACCTGCGTCAGCACTTGAGAACATAGTGGTACACCCCTCAAATCCCCACACACTCTGCCCTGGCCCTTCCCAGAACTGTCTGCACCCTGCGCACCTCTTCCACTGCTGAACTTTCTGGCCCCATAGATTTTCCCACAACCTCCTTGCTATGGCACCAACAACAGACCATGCTTGGATACAGAGGCCTCCCAGAGACAGAATGAGCAGGTTGCAAGCCTTGAGATGGTATGGGGTAAGGCCTGAATTGTTAGAGCGAGACATCCATGCTGGCTAGCTCTGGGGACATTTTTCCAGTATGCAAGTATGAAATGCCAGCTTAATTTTTTCAAGACTCAGTCACCAAGTAATCACACAGCCCATGCTTTCTTGTGTGCAGAAAGGTTATTCAGTTGAGCAACCAGTCACATTGGGTGGGAACACGAGGAATGTTCATAAACGGCCAATCGCAGTTGAACTTTTGTTGATGAGAACGTGAGGATCTGGTGATAATCACATCCAAGTGTTTTGCAGGTGAGAATAAGAGGATCTTTGTCGGGATGACAACTAATCAACAGTGGCACAGTGAAAAGCCATGAGACGACAACCAATTGTGGCACTTTTTTCTCTTTCCCTTTTCTTTAGTTAAAAAGACGCAAATGAGGAGGAAGAGGAGGAATTAAACAAGGGTAGCCATTCACAGACCTGTTTTTCCATGTTCAACACAACCACTCAAACCAGTTACCCAATAAAATTGATTTTCGAATGAGATTTTTAAAAGAAGGGAGAATCCATACCATTTCTCTCACTTGGTCTCCTTGAATTTGCGGACAAGGGTTGCTGCTTCACAAACTTGACAGTTAAAGCTGTTTGGCGAAGGCGGTTCTGGAGCTGGAGTGAAGTGCCAGCCTCACCACAGAGGTTGGCTGCCAAAGTCCACAAATACAAAGGGAATCTTGGCTTAAGGACCTCTTTCGGGCAGCTTCTTTGAGTAGCTTAGTCTCTGTCTGCTGCTCTTCTCTAGGTTATGTGGCCGTTCCTATTAGCCTTGGCTTGCCAGGCATCCAGGCCTAGCAAACCACTGTGGATGCCATGCATAAACCAAACTGCCCAGCTCCTGGAGACACAACAGGAGGCACAAAAAATGCCAGACCAACACAGCATGTCCCATTGTACAGCTCTGGATGCAAAACAGTGTGACTCTTTCCCCAGGATGGCTTCCTGAGCAGAAGGCCATGATAGCACATGATAACAGAGTAATGGAACATGCCAGAAATCCCAGCCATATTCATATTGGAGAGGTTCTTGTCTGGTTGTGCCAGGATTGCTGGCAAAATGCCAGTGAGCTCACTGTTGGCATGCCATCTGCATAGTCTCTGTTATATCAACGGATGGGGAGGGAGATAGGAACAAAAGGGAAAGACGCCTGTCAACACTGATGCTGAGTAGACACAGTCAAAGGCACCCAACTCCATCAGCTGATTTTGCTGAAGGCTTGTCATTGTCACTCAAGGTTTTCATCTTCCATGCGAAGAAGATAGTGATCCAGCCCTCTTTAAACCCGTGTACTGTATCTTTTCCTGAGAGAAGAATATACACATGTGTGTCTCTTTCTGAATTGGGATTTGCCACAACTGCCTTGAGCTCATGCACTTTCCTAGGATGCAACTGTTGATCCAATCCAGCGTACCAATGTGGTGGTGGAAACTAGAAGCTACTTCCTCCAGTATACAGTCAGTCATTCTAGAATTCCAACAAACGGGACACACCAAGATGGACATACAGAATGACACACAGCTCCTCCAGAAACTCTCACCTGATTGGCTGCTGCCTCTGCATTTGGGGCCAAGTCAGTTCGAGCATCTGAAGAATGAGGTGGCCCTCGTGGGGGTCTTTCTACAGGAGAGTTCCGTCGGCGGTAAAAGAGCACATAAGCGTATCGGGTCACCACCTGGCTTTCATCCACGGTGGTGACTGTGCTGTCATCAAAAAGCCGCCAGCCTGCATAAGAAAAGGAAGAAAGCTGTAAGCACAGAATCTTCCAAAGCAAGCACTTCTCACTGAGTATGGAGGCATGGATGCCTCTTTATCACCTCTTCTTCCCATCTCAGCCTCCCAACTGCATCATGGGAGTGTTCTTCGCTCTCCTACGTCTACACATCATTCTTAATGCTCATCCAACTGTAGTCTTGCAGCCATTGAGTCACTTTTGACTTATGGCAACCATGTTCAATTAGTGACTTCCAAAAGTGCCACTCTACTCAGATCTTGCAAACTCAAGGCCATGGCTTCTTTTATAGTCAGGCTCTAGTGTTGACAGTCACTGGACAACGTAATACCTCCATCCTTACTCACCCACATCACTCCGCTGACTGTTCTTGTCATTGGGCAGCCGGGCATAGGCTGTGTAGTGCCCACCAATCATGCCCCCATAGTGATTGATAACTGCATAAAGGTCATACATGGGCAGCTGCTGCTCATCCTTCTGGCCAATGCAGAATTTGCTCAGGTCCAAGCTCCTGAAGACAAAGACAGAAAAGGTTAGACAGCTCCATACTGTGTACCACTTAGGCATGGAAGCAATATCATTCCATCTCCATCATTCCTTTCTTGGGGTAACTTAGCTTCCAGAGTTCAACTGCATTTAAATCCTATATGGAAATACTCTATGCTTGTATACTTACAACTCAGCCTATTGCAATAGTTTAGTATAGGCAATGCTATTACCCAAACTGAAGTACTGAGAGGGACTCCAGTTCAGTGGCAGAACACAGTGGCAGAAGACTCTTCCAGCCCCATATTCAGTTTCTGACACCTCCAGTTAAACAGATCAGGCAATGAGGAAAAGAGTAGATCCTACTGGATAAGATCCTGTGTGACACAGTACAAGACAGCTCCACATGGTTATCACAAACAGGAGAATGCCTCCACGGTACAGACACATACCGCAAAGGACATCATTTACATTTTCTGTTGTGTAAACCAGGCTGTGGTCACATCTCAGTAAAAACTCTTAAGAGCCCAACATGATTTTGGTGACTTTTTGGTCCCAAAAGATGGTGACTATGACCTCTTCTTTCATCACCTCCCCCCAAGCAACTAGAAGACCAATGGATCTACACCTGACCCTCAGATACATCTGATGAAGTACATGAATAAAGATGAATGTCCTGCACCATCTACAAGGTATCATATATGCTTCTTTTCTACTTTCTTTTGAAAGAAGTCCCTCTCAGCCAGATTTTAATGGTACAAAGGCCATTAAAAGAGTCTGCTACAGCACGCAATTTGTTGTACCAGACAGACTGCAGGTATCAGTGGCGGGAGGGTTCACAGGAGGACTGTACAGCCTCAGCACCAAATGCATTATACAGTTCTGAATTAAGGACAGGGACCAAACTCTGCAATCATGTTTGATCCAGATCAACAGCTTGTTGCTGCTCAGGAAAACATCACTTGCTCAAATGACAGAATAGTTGGGATCAAATTAACATACAGTGTGCATTACCTGACTGGGAAATCCACCATATCATTAATCTTGTCCCTCCAAATAAAGCTGCGGAAGGAGAAGCGCTTGAGCTGAATGATCAAGACATTGGGCAAGCGCCACAACATGAGCTGTTTAGATGCCTCACGGTGTTGCTTACACTTTGGACAGTACCTATAGGAAAGGATGCAGGAAGGTTAGCATTTTCTGTTACTAATTTCAGGGGAGCCAATGCTCTCTGCCCCCCCCTCAGTTTTGCTGCACTCCTTGAGGACAGCAGCATTCAGATCTCTGAGATCAACGGGTTTAGAAAAAGGCTTCTATATGATGCTGCTGGGTAAGTGTGAGAGAAAGCATCATTAGCACGCGAGAGACAAAACGCTCTACCTCTTACCACCACTTACTAACGTGAGGACAGATACAGAACTCTTCCACGAAGCCTGGAAGCAGTTTTGTGAGGAATGAGTGGACTGGAACTTAGTTGTAGTTCCCATGCCTGGGATTTCCCAGTCCACAAAGAAAACCACCCCAAACCTCTGTCCTTACCAGGCCTCCTCTGGAGCCAACACCTCTGGCTTGGTGAAGAGGTTGAGGCACTGTTCAAGGGTGAAGTGTCCTGCCCTGGCTGCTTCACTTGCAGAGCCTGGATCCTCCACACACTCTAGCTCCTTAGATTCAACCAGCACAAACTCCTTCATCCTCTCATTATTCTTCCAAACCAGGGCCAGAGAACAGTCATCTGTAAGGTCTAGTGGGGTATCATCTGTAAGACAGATGTTTACAGATGGTGTTACTCATTCCTTCCCATCAGGCTAGAACTGACATCAAAGTAATGTGCTCTAGAGAAGTAGTTTTCCTGCTCTGGTTTAAGCAAAATAATAAAGGGGATATATTGCAAGGACTATGAGAGATGCTGGCCTGTGTGTATGCAGAACAAAAGTACCAATGATACATTCTTATTTTATAGTTCATGCACTACAGTGTTCCTACAACTTCTGAGGAACCAGAATCAAGAGAAGATCCCCCCCATTCCACAGCCAGCCAAGAGGAGATGTAAGCTGCACTGCACAGGTTAATGGATAGGAGAGTGACTAACAATGACAGCATTTCATGAGGGAAGAGGGATGCGAGATAATGTCGAGACTGCAGAAGAGACATGCTGACCTCCTCCCACTATCTATTTCTGCAACTGTGTGGCACAAGGCAATGCCAGCTGTGCAGTTAGGAATTCTGATTTTCAATAAGGTGTATCCATTCCCCACAATGTGTGCTGGCCTGAAAACTCCCTTTGATAACTCTTGGCATTCCATGTAACCTTGATACTGGCACATGAATTAGTATCTTGTGAATTCAGCCTCTAAACATGGCAGTGCCCACTGGATTAGTAGGCAAGTCAGGGACAGGAAGAATTAGATGCCCAAATGAAATTTCCAGGTTTTTGAGACTCTGCATAGCTGATCTCTTCTCTGCCACAACCAGAATGATGAAAAAACATTCTGTATAGACTTACACCTACAATTTGTTGACAATCATTTCTTACTGTCCCTAATATTAATTTTCAAGACCTCCCAAAATCCACCATTGAAAATTTATAGCATGATTTCCTAGTTTACCAGCTTTTCAGTAGCTGTTTTAAATTAGTTTTAGTTATTTTAAATTAATCAGTGACGAAACAATGCTTACTGGTTCTATTTTGGTTTTAAACCCTTGTACTACCTTTACTAAATGCAGACGTCTTCAAATGCAAGTCTTCAATCACTCTGTTTCTGAGTTAGGCTGCAACTACACTGGTAACTGTGTACTTGATTCACAGCCTATTTTACGCTTCTGTTCAGATTAGATGATTACACAGAGACCATGGACTGTTTCAATGGCTTCTCTTTTTCAAGCCACAGATGTTTGGTCAGACTTTTCCTTATGTGGTTAGTGTTTCATTCTCCAAAAGGACAGGGGATATGATGCTCAACGTGAGGTGATTTTATCCACCACACAGCCAGCGGCTCCCCTCCTTTGATCGCACCCTTGGCCGATCTCTGGCTCTCTTTTTATAATTCACTGTAAACCCTGTGGATTTTTAAAGTGTTGCACAGCACTATGAGAAACTGACAGTTTTCCATAACATACAAACACATATATACTGCAGAGATAGACACCAAAGTCTACCCGTTTCACTCGATCTAGTGTGGGGGTGCGACTGAGGGGCCTAACACTGAGAGAGGCCCGGAAAGAAAAAGCAAGGAACTGGGCCTTCTCGGTGGTGGGTCCTCAGTTGTGGAACAACTTACCTTCAGAGATCTGTATGGCCCCTTCGCTGGGTGTTTTTAAAAGCCAATTAAAAATATGGCTGTTTTGCATCCACAGCAAATCCTGCAGCATTTGACCATGTAGTTTCAGCCTTAATTGGTGACTATTTCCTATTACAGGACTCAAAGTTAGGGGCTGTGATTCTTTGATGCCTAAATAGTCCCTAGCTATCAAGTCCTGCAATAAGAAATACTGAACAATTGCTAATCGACACTGATTGAAGATTTCCTTGTTCACTTGCAGTGATTAAGGTATAGAGCCTGAGTTTTAAACCAAAATGAAACCAGTGAACAATTTTCAGAAATAAGCAAGTACAAATAACTTTAAATAAATATAAACAGCTGCTAAACGGCTGAAAAAATGTCTGGAAAGCTGGGCCACTGATTGCAACAGTGGATCATGCAGCTCATTTTTGGTACTTTTTTCGAGGGAGGTGCAGTCCCTAGGCTACTAGCCAAGATGAAAAATTTGTCTTCAGAGCTCAGGAGACAATCCACAACTGGTCCAAGTCTATTAGGCATTCACTGAACACCTTAGCCACGCTCAGCACAGAAAAACGCTCTCTGCAAATTGATTCAAAAGGCAATGCTATTTTAAAAAAAATATTGCTATATTCTGAACACCAAGTTCCTACATTTTCACCCTCACCTTTATCCTCCAGTTTCTGCTCTTTGTTTGCTGCATCAATCTTGGTGATGTAGAACTGGGTAATGTGGGAACTTAGCCCTTCAGCTGGATGCTGGTAACCAGGAATGGCAGCTGGAGACAGGCAGAAAAGATAGTCACTGACATGAAGCCTTTCTTTTCTTGGTTCAGCCGTTCCACAGTCTGGCACACAGATGAAAAGGTAACAGCTGGGACAGCTTATGGGCTACAGCACACCAAAGGTACAGAAAGACAGCTGGAGACTTTGAGAACCACAGGGAAGAGGTAAATGGCCTTGTATCAGGGGAAGAATTTCTTCTTATCAACTAGGCTGCCCTCTGCTACTCAGAAGTACCCACTCACACCAAACAAGGCCACCTGCATCTGGAACTAATTATTTCCCTAAGCCAATTTGAACCTTCTATTTTTGACTTCAAGGGAGAAAGGGGACCCCCCCCCAATAAACACAGTGGTGCCTCGCACCATGACGACAATCCGTTCCCCTGAAATCGCTGTTAAGCGAAAACATTGTCCAGCAAAAACAGTTTCCCCATTGGAATGCATTGAAACCCATTTAATGTGTTCCAATGGGGAAAATACCTCGTCGTCCAGCGAAGATCGCCCATAAGAGAAGCCATTTTCCGAGCACCAATGAGCTGTTAAAATGGCTGCCCTGCGAAGCATGGGTCCGGAAAACACAGGGCAGCCATTTTGCGGAGCCGGAAAACATCATTGTCTTGCGAACAAACAGTTCGCAAAGCACAGACCTAATCGTTGTCAAATGAAAAGCCCCCATAGGAAACATCATTTTGCGATCACTATAGCAATCGCAAAAAAGTCACCGTCCTGCGGATTCATCGTACAGCGGGGTCGTCTAGTGAGGTACTACTGTATTAACCTTACTAAGCTGCTTAATATTAAGGCCCCCTTATGGAATTTAAGTATGCGAACTGCATAGATATTTGTCCTCTATGTACAATATGAGCTCCTGGTAAATGAACACAGCAGAGTCCCACCAGAAAGCAGCAAGCAGAAATTGTTAGGAACCCCTTGGAAGTAACAGCTGGGCGACTTTAGATCAAGTCCACAATGGGTCAACTGCTTACCTTCAGGTTTGGAGGTTCTTGGTAGCTCCAGGAAACTCTCAGACCGTGTGTCCAAGGAAGTCTCAGAAAAGCCTGAATCCAAACTTAGCCCCGAGCTTCTTCCAGTGGTTACCTTGCTTCTCACAGAGCTGGAATCTCCTAACTCAGGCTGTAGCTCAGGGGCTATGAAAGATGTTTGGGGTTCTGGCAGCAGGTGTGGGGCTCTGGCACCATCTCCTGACTCCATTGCGGTGGCGCTGATGTCAGCAGCAGAAACTGCAGCTGCTGCAGCAGCAGCACATGCCACCGTAGCACTGCTATTCTTGGCCAAAGGCTCTTGTTTTTCACCAGGCTGGAGCTGCAAGCTTTGTTCCGGTGACATCCTGCCCATCTGGAAAGGGGGCTGGAATACACTGACTGAATACCTGAAAGAAAAAGCCACTGAGTATGTAACCTTTCAGTGTCAGAACAGTAACTGTGGGCCGGCACTCAGAAAGGAAATGCTGCTTTTTTCTCCACCACCCAGCCAAAGTCTGCTATGAGCCAGGAATCATTGCCCGTTTGCCCAAGAATGATGATAATCCTTGGGACATCTTACCTTGCATAACCTTCCAGAAGTTGGGCTAGCCGTGCATACGTGAGACGTGACTCAGGCACGCTGATGATAAAGGGAAAGCCAATGTTTTCAGGGCGGCACGAAGTTTTGTGGTCAGACCAGTGCGTTCTCTGACACATTCTGAAACACACACAAAACCCATTCTCATACAGAAGCAACATGCCCTCTTCCCACCTGCCTCGACCCCAAGAATAAAACAGGCCCTGCCTCTAGGAAAGGGAAGACAGCTTACACGTTACAATAGCCGACACGATAGCACCGAGTACAGCGCTTCAATTTCTCTTCTTCTGACTGCTGCTTCTTCTGACAGGCGGCACATTTGGTGATGGGTATGCTGGGCACCTGAGAGCGCTGAGAAGAACAGAGAAAGCCCACTTGGTAGGCAAAACCAATGGCCCTCTTAGACAGACTTGTTTTTTCCCCCATGATGCAAAAGAGGCTTCAAAGTCAACCCAACACACCTGTTTTTTGTCAACAGCTCTGATCTGCCTCATTTCTGTCATCTCTATAGAAGGCACCTACCTGTTGAACCTGCAGCTCCACGACACGCTCCTTGGCCAGGTCTGGAGAAAGCACCTCAAAGCACAGTAGAAGGTCTGCGGGAGAAACCGTGTCCAGCGAGTTGGAAGGCAGGAACATGCGGTGGAAGCGGTTCTTGGACACCTAAACAAAGGAACAGGTAAGGTCCTGGCTGATCACTGTCCTTTCCCCTATGGCTTCACAAAGCAGTTAACTTGAGGAATTTATTGTCACAAGACATTGGGGGTGGGGCTCTAAAAATGATGAGAAATCCACTCCAAAAAGGGGCTGCTTTATTAATATTTGCCACCAAATATTACACAGCAGACTTCTGAGCCTCTCTAACTAGTAGTTAAACAGTGGACAAAGATTTGCTTTGCATGTTATCCAAGACAGAACGCTGATCTATATAAACTACTGGTCTAATCAAATAAAACAACAGTGAAAAAATAAGTTGCAACCAAGTACAGTACTCCAATTAGCCAAATATGCCCTTTTCTGCAATATTCTATCTAATCCCCCCCTTTTCAACCCCTCCCTCAATTTATAAGCCCCCTTAGCACGCCATGCCCACTGAACATGGTCAGTCCTCACGGAACTGCTTGACCCCACCTCTCTAATAGTTTTTCTCTCTCTCTTTTCACTTTTTTTTAACTTCTGCAAATCCTGGAACTTTCTGAAACCTGCTGATACCTCCCTTCTCTTCATTCATGGCAAGCTTCTGGCTATGTAAGGATCTACATGATGGGGCTTTTGTAAATTATACCTATTCAGGCCCACAGCAAGAAGGGAAAAGAGAAAGGGAGCCAACTCTAACCTATGCAACTCTTCTCAGCTTTTTTCCATGCTGACAGTTAAGAAACCATTAAAAATGCATCTCTGGGATATGCCTCATGACTGTGGCGTGGCCCTGACCTCCAGCACATTCCTCTTCAAAAACTGCTCCCCACTCCTCTCTCTCTTCTCATTGAGACCTGCTCCTTTTCTTGTGGAGGGAAAAGGAGAGAAATCTCTGTGTTCAACCCTCATCTTAAGAATTCCTGGCAATGACCCTGCTGCAACAATGTAGCCCAAGACCGTGGGAATAGTGAAGTTAATGAAGAATTTGGTGAGGCAAGAAGGGAGCAAGGAGTTGGGAGCAAATTTTTTTAAGAGGAACATGCTGATGGTCAGGGCAGTTTCCCAGAGTGCCACTTTTAAGTCTGGTTTCTTAACTGTCAGGAAGGTAAAAGATGAGAAGGGTGCATAGGTTATAGCTGCCCAGTAATGGCGGGGGCCGGGGGAGAGGAGAGAGAAAACACACTATCTGAATGCTGCTTGGTAAAGAGGTCCCATGGCTCATCTCTGAGGAGCTTTGAGAGAAATTAAGTGTCGAGCAGGACATTTGCTACATGGCTTGGCATTTCTACTGATAAGTAAAAAATGTGTACACACGTAAGTTCCAGTAAGAAGTAGGGGGAAGATAAGTTGAGATAACCCAAGGACAGATAGGGTTCTATGTACTGCCATAAAAGAGAAACTCTGGATGCTGCAGCTTTAGGGAACCCACTTAAGTGGCTAAAAGAGTCTGGAAAAAAAATGCAGCTCATTGGACGAAACCCTTCAGCTAAAAACATAGGCTGCCAACCTCACTGGTCTCATATACAGCTAACAGATTTCTAAGGTCTGGCCAGATTAGATCAAGGGAGGAGACATGTGCTATGAAAAGGGGCAAAGAATTCACAAAAAGTAGCAGTGTTGCAGTCTGTGCAAATGTCTGAAAAATCATTTCCAAGTGTGGCACAACTTTCACCTTTTTGAGCTCCTGCTTGTATTCTTACAAAAGAATACATGGACAAACATGCATTAAGCAGAGATCAATTCAAGCTGGATTCAGATACAAGAAACTAAACCACCCAAAGTTTGCCATTAGGACTGTATAGGGGTGCTGATCACCTCGGCCAGGCGCAGGTTCTCAGGATTCACTCGCACGCTATGGGACACTGAGTCAAGCACCTCCATGGCAGTGGAGTTCTCCTTGCTGATGCTCACCAAGAACTGTTGGAAAAGAGCAATATTGGGGTGAGAGTACATTTCAGGTGGTGTAGCCATTAGCTGCCAAGATCAAACTTGCTTTCCCCCCCATCCTGAAAATCCCGATTCTTTACATACTACAGTTGACGATTACCCCGCTTCATGACGAAATCGCTTCACAATGAGTTTTTTGCGATCGCTATTGCGATCGCAAAATGATTGAATGGAGAAAATCCGCTTCACGGCGATTGGTTCCCTACTTTGGATTCGTATTACGAGGATCAAAAACAGTTTTCAAAATGGCGGCCCGCTGTTTTCCGGACTTATTTCGGGAAGACGGTGACTAAAAATAGCTTCCCCTATGGAGGATCTTCGCTAGACAATGAGGTATTTCGCCCATTGGAATGCAAATTGAACCGGTTTTCAATGCATTTCAATGGGATTTTTTATTTCACTTGACGATGATACGGCTTAACAGCGATTTTAACGGAACGGATTATCATCGTCAAGCGGGGCACTACTGTACTCTCAAAAGTAGAGCTTGGAAGAAACAAATTAGAAGCAATGCAGTTAACCTACAAGCAGTTGTTTTCTGACTAACTAGTAGTTATACAAGGAGTAATGACAAAGTTACAGTAAATATATTGTAATGAAATTGCAAAAATAATTTTTAGGTGTGCAAAGTAACCTTTCTAGTTGCTTTTAAAGAACATTTTAAAGCATTTCAACAGGCTGTTTCCAGTTCTGTGCCATTCTATCAAGTCTAAGTAGTTTGCTTTTTTCCTTTTTGTAAATATTTGCAGGGGGCAGTATCAGAATTGACACTGTAGAGAAGAAGTCTTTCTCAGCATTTTTCAGGCTTGTTGGTAACTACGATACATGTTATTAACAAAAGAGTGACAGATCTGAGTTTAAACCTGGACATGTCACTATTATGGAGAAAACAGGGAATAGACTGATATGAAGTTGGACACAAGCTTAAAATCTAAACCACTGGTTCTTAACCTTGGGTTACTCAGGAGTTTTGGACTGCAACTCCTAGAAGCCTTCACCACCAGCTGTCCTGACTGGGGTTTCTGGGAGCTGAAGTTCAAAAGCATCCGAGTAACAAAGGTTAAGAACCACTGGTCTAAACTCCAAGATACTGTTATCTATATATCAGTCTCACTGCCAGTAGTTCAGCTGAGGCCAACCAACTCAGTGAGGGTATCTAACAAGGAGGAAATAAGCAGCAAGGAGGAGGATATAGCTCTTCTAACAAGTGGCTGCTTTTGCTTCCTAGCCCTGCTTTCTATGTGAGTGAGGTACACCCTGGTTGAAACACCTGGAACTGGCATTGTCACATCTAGTTTGGCCCTCAGAGACAGTTTCGCACTGCTATTACACTCTATTGAAACAGTCCTCGGAAGTACAAATAAGGCTTCTCCTGACACGGACACCCACCTAGAACTAATAACTAAGAATCTTAAAGCATCTGAAAGACCCATCACTATTATGTGGTGCAGGCTTTAGTGGACTACAGACCATTACATCAGATACGTCTAAATAGGGTCTGTGGTTGAACAAAACTTTTGCCAAACAAAACCTGTTAGTCTTGAAAGTGTTAGAGCCTGCAACAGACATGCTAGCTACAATCTAGGATTATTTATATCATAAAATGATTCACGACACGTACCTTTGCAAGTTGGACTCTTACCTTGATAGGTTTCTTATGGGGTTCTTTTGCAAAGTAATAAACTGTCAGCACCTTCTGCTTCTGGGGAAGGGGGACTGGCAAATAGAGGAAGGGATCAAACGTGATAGACACCTGCAAGTAAGGGAGACAGCCATCAGTTATTACTCAGAGGAATTCATATACTGTACTGGGCACATGAGTCAATCACAGAGGAAGTAGAGAGGGGTACCCTGGGCTTAGAAGGCCCTGGCCCGAGTAATGAGGCAGCTCAGAAAACATGTCAGTAGGAAAGCAGGACCACAGCTCTTGATGGCCACAGAGATAGTGGAATGGAGGCATACAAGCTAAGGAAATGCAGAATGACCATGAACTGAGCCTTGGCATCACATTGAGGGGCTAAAGCTATTCCCACCCCCAACCCCCATCCACCACTCATCTCACAACCAGCAGGGAAAATTTATTTGTGAATACAGACATCTGACCCTGTAGGATCCTCACAGCTAGAAAGAAAACACAAAACTTGAAGGTAAATACTCTACCTTTGAGCACACAGGGCACACTAGCTTAGATTTGTACTGGCCCTGGAAGAGGTCCACAATGAAGGAATCGTTCCTCATTTTGTGCCGATGCCAAGCCTCTTCTGCCACAACCTAGCAGGAGCGAAAGAACAAAAGCTGAGCAGCTGCTTAGAAATTATATTAGCTGGCATGTAAGTTCCACAGATAAACATATAATCAATATATTCTCTTGCCAGGCTAGCCCCCTTTCCCACCCCACTCCTATAATGCCCTTTCTGTAATAAGAGTCACCTCATCCGGCCGGCCATCTGAGTCCACTGTTTCTGTGTAGGGCTTATTATGGATGCGGTTCAGGTCCTCGTGTAGCCCATCCAGCAAAAAAGCCATGAATTCCTGGGCATCGTGTTGAGCATAGCCCGTAAACTGGCTAGCTTTGCTGGCCACAATTGCCTACAGAAAGAGGTTGGATGACATGTGCAACCAGTTATTCCCCCTCACCCCTTCCATCCCCAGAAGAGTCAAGAGGGGAAAAATCAAGAGAGAAGTAAATGCATCCGAAGGAACTTTTAAAGCTGTAGGAGGGGTGACTGGCGTCGGGAGTGTGCCCTGCCAAGACCAAGAAGCCACAGAGACTGACTGCAGCTGTTTTCTAATTTATTTCTAACAAAAGGCTAATCATTACAATAGGCAGATGCCAGATCCATGGGCTATGTGGATCCTGAGGATAGCTATCCCTCAGGTGCTCTGTACAAGGGATCCTTGTCAGTGAGTAGCAAATCACCCAATGTGAGAGGAAGCAGCTGAGTTCTGATCTTATTGTCAACAGCCCCCTGCCCCCACAAAGGAGAACTTGGCAAGGAGTACATGGCCGCCATTCATACACACTGGAGACAGGAAAGTGATGCTCTTCCAAGAACATTTGGGATGAAATCTAATCTGTTCTCCCTGGGTCACAGTAATGCTCATTCTCATGCTCTAATATTGTGAACACTGGGCCTGCTCCAACCTGCAGAGTCTCATCCTGAATACTCTTTCTTGGCTGCTCTAGGCAATCATATGAACCCAGGGTCTTCTGCACTAGCCATAACCAACAGGGTCTTCACCCTGGATGACAGCACAGCATTAGAAGCTAGTGTTTGTCCACCAAAGCAGTGTTTCTGTAATGAGGAAGGCCTCACACTATTTTTTTTTTTTAAAAAACCAACCCTCCCAACCCTGCATAGGCTTCTTTCTGCCGGATCTCTTACCTTCAGCTTGGAAGGCTGAAAGGCATGGTGGGTACCTTTCCAAAGGGCCCTCAACAGCACAGCAAAACCAATAGCCAGGCGCCCCCCAGTTCCCAGCGGGTTGTTGTAGTTTATTTCAGACTCAAAAGACCGATCTAGGAGACATGGGAAGGGGAGGGGAGAGAGAAAGATGAGGCCTGCAGCAACATCTTCTGGTCAGTGACCCAAAAACCAAAGGGGGATGAGCAGAGCACACACAAAGGTACCTCCCCCTCTCCAGCCCAAGGGGCAGATTACCATGAAAGTAGTCCCGCAACTCCCTGGTATTGGAGAGAGACTGGATAACGCTGTTCATGAAGCAAGTGTTGCCCAGGTTTACTAGCCCTGTGAACCCTGGAAGGCACACCTTCTTGTCCTCCTCCTCTTCTTCCTCTTCCACACTTTCACTGTTGACAGGGCTGTGAGTCATTGGTGGGACCATGCATGTGGGCTTGGGCTGGAAAGGAACAGGTTTCTAAAGGTTAACATGCAAGCTTCGATTGTTGGCAAGCATCTCTCTCTCTCTCTCTCTCTCTCACACACACACACACACACACACACACACAGCACACTATTGTCATCACACCTCTTTTAGGTGTAGGTCAGTGACACAAACAGCAAAAAAACCCACCCATCCAGTGGAGGATGGGGCCTGCTCAATTACATGACTCCAATTGCATGAAGCTAGGGACGGATCATGCCATTTTGCCACTCCTCAGAAGCCTTACTGGGAATATTTTACTGGCCACTAACAGAATCCAGCCTTTGCACTCGAACTCCAATGTGTTGGGACAGCAAATATCATCCTCAACTGGCAGAACCCTCAGCTTAGGATGAAGGGAGATACGTATGACCAAATCTAACTGAAGGGCAGAGAGTTGAGGAAGGCTAGGCTGGATGGACCCAATCGAGCAGTTCTTGGGCTAATGTTCTGCATCAATTCAGGGTCTCTCTATTTTATTCCATAGGGAACCCAAGATGGCTCACAGCAGATAAAACAAAAGATTTAAATACATGGTGTAACTGAGGGTAAGATTTCTATGACATGCCATCTTTTTTCTGCAGCCCATGTTTGAACCTATAAGTGGATTTTGAAATGTTTATGAGTAATTTGGTGAGAAAGCCCAGATTACTCATAAACATGTTTAAACGTGCCTGTGGGTTCAAGTATAAGTTGCAGAGAAAGTGTGAAATGTCATAGAATTCCTAAGACAACTTACTGCTTAAAAGCCTGCCTAAAGACTTTTCCTTGCAAGATTTTGAATCTTATACACTCTGTGTGTTAACAGCAAAGTTTCTCAGTGCTGATCTCTGCACAATGTAAAGGGAAACAAAGAGGGAGCTGCTAAAAGAATGCATAGATTTCAAGGATAGCTTCCCTTTTCCACCAAAAAAACCCTCTCCAAACAGACTATGGGTCGGTGCAGTTACATGCAAAGTGAAAGAGAGAACACACAGCCCAGTCAGGCCATCAACAACCCTGGCTGCAGAAACTCTTTCTGTGGCCAGACCACTCTAACACTGCCAACCCAGCAATTACCCTGCACTTTTCTTGGCTCCTTTACTGCTCCCAGTTTAGACAAGACTTTTAAGGAAGAAATATGAGCTTTCTATTGCCTTTCTTCTGAGCACACTGACAAAACCTGAAGCCTTCTCTGCCCAGGAAGCAGGAGTTGAAAGCAATGTCATTTCCTAACCAGTTTCCTTTCCTCTGGGCCATGGAAGGAAAAGCTCTACGACTGCATGGCGGCATCACACCCAACTCTTTCTAAAGGCACCAGGTTCAGAAACTTGGGGGAGAATCTACCAGACAGAAACACTTCCAAACCTGCAGGCCATGTTATATTCTGGAGATTACATATAGCTCAGATTAGCCATTTTAACCCATTTGTGCAAGACGCCAACCCATATAAATCCAAGCAGCTTTGACTTGCTTGCACCCCCACCCTTCCCCAAGAGTCAGCTTGCTGGCTGCATTAAGGACCCAGCAGATTTGGAAATGGAAACTCAAGCAGAAGGTGTGAGTTCTCACCGAGGGCACAAGGGGTTCCTGCTTCACGGGCACATGCTCTGGCATGGTCCGCGCAGCTACACCATCGAGGCCACCGTCCTCCGTTCGTGGCTTCTCCTTCTCACCTCCTCGTGGTTCCTCTTTGGTAGACAGAGGGTGCTGGTTACTTCCTTGCTGGCTTTTATCCAGGGGGGTAGGACCTGTTGGCATGGCAACCTTTGCACCACCCACTGCACCTTAAAAAGGGGGAAAAGGGGGCTTGCGGTTAGCAGCACCATGGACAAGCAGTTCATCCCAGAGTGCGGGACAGGCAACAATGGCGCTCAAGTTAAAGGAAGCCAGATATCGGTTGAATATCAGGAAAAACTTCCTAATAGTGCGACAATGGAACCATTTGCCTCGGGAGTTGGTGAGTGCTCCAACACTGGAGGCATTCAAGAAAAAACTTGGGATAATCACCTGGAAGATATGCTTTGATTGTATTCCTGCACTGAGCAGGGGCTGGACTTGATGGCCCTGTAGGCCCCTTCCAACTTCGATTTTCTATGATTCTATGCTATTGTACTGCTGATATGTAAGGAGCACCATTCCAATTCCTTTCTTAACTGATATTAGACAGAAATACGTCAAAAACCAGGCTAACTAACTAATTGAACTAACTGGACTGGTACTCAACTTCAGAAGAATGACCGCCCTCTCCTTGACCCCCACCTAAAAGCAATGAAGTGATTCAAGGAGAGCAGGCTATTCCTTTCCCTGATTAAGTGGTGATTTCAGAATCATCAGCCTCCCTGGAATCCCACAATCCCCTCACATTGCCAAGCCCAAGAAACCCCAACAATAGAGTGAACTCTGAAAAGTCAAGGCGCAGACCTCGTGCTGCTGGAGCCTCCAGGCCCCCCCAGCGCTGGCTCTGCCGTTTCTTCAAGCAGATGTCAATGCGGGCAGGAGTGAAGTTGTACGTGCACTGGTCTGGCTCTATGAGGTTCCTACATGACAAACCAATAGGATGGAACAAGGAGATGAGAGAACATCAGATTTACAATCCAACAAAGCAAAGGACTTCTGCACATTATGGAAGTGATTGATTCTGGAATGTTCAATTCATTCATTCCATTTTATGGGGAAAGAAAAAGAACCTCCTAACAGCAGAGGTCCCAGGCTAGTGATCACCCTGCTGCTCTCAGCATTTCATTTCTGACGAGCTTCGATCATGAACACTGCTGCACTGAAATAGCAGAGAAGAACTGCAGAGTTGGGGAGGAGATGATGAGACCAAAGCAAAACTAACAATTATAAAATCCAACTGGGACAAGTCCATAGCTTTGCTGACCAGTAACATGTAGTATAGCCAAGGCTGGTGTTCATGCCACAGAAAAGAGATGGTGATCAGAAAGATGATGGGTTTGTTATGAAGCCACAACTAGACCTCGTGCCTGTTATTGGTTTCTAAGAACATAATGCAGTCATTGTAGTAACTGGCAATATCAGAAGAACTCAAGAAAATTCGATACCTGAGTTTTACTTGCCACCTGAATACTGTATGACGGCCACAGCTGGGATGCACTCGCAGAAAATTGGCATCACTGCAAAGAAAAGAAAAGTAAGGCTTCCAACACAAGCTGGAGAATATACATAATTCAATGCACTCCAACCTTTGCCTGAGTCAATCCAGCTAACATCCAGTCCTCACAGGTTTTGATGATTGGAACACTCTAGTTCTAGAAGAAGAAGAGCTAGCTTACCCCATTTGAAGTCATCATACCTTGTCTGGAACATTAGGGTGAAGTCTTGCTCCCGAAAAAGCACCTTGGACATCTCCTTCTGAATTTCCTTCACATAAACATGCACCACCATAGAATCGTTCCCTTTCTCATAGGAATCATTCTTCACAAATGTGAGATTCACAATGGGCTCTGGTTCTACAAGGGAAAAAGCAAAGAACAATAATAAGAGCAGAGGGACACCCTCCATAGGGGCTCTGAAGTACTCCCGACAACATTGGCCAAGGCAGGAAACGTGGCAAAGAACCAGAATCTCCACTGACCCATTTTCAAGAGATTCTCTCTAAGGGCCATTTAACAAAGAGGATGGAACACAGCACTAAGGAGGGAGCTCTTAAGTACTACAATTCTGTAGCAAAAGCTTAACTCTAAAAACTGTACACGTTATGCAAATTAAACAGACCCACATAAGATATACTTTCGCTAACGGTGCACAGATCCAAAGAACTATCCAGAACACTGATCTGACCCTCTCAATGCTAGAAACTATGCCTCTGCTACTCTCCGTCCCCAGTATAATATGGATATAAACGTTACACACATGCCATTTAGGTCAGTATTGTTTCTTCCAAACAGTAAGCAACTGTCATTTTTCCACCATATACAATCTCTCCTGTTGCTCAAATATTGTCAAGTATAAGTATATGCTTTGGAATACAGGAAACTATCTTTAAAAAAAAAATCGTATTTCCTAGGCCAATCTACACTGATTATTAAACAGAGAGTCAAACAAGGACCTGGACTCTATGAACCTTGGCGTCCAGTAGTAGAGTTCTGTGGATCTGAGTTTTATTCCCCCACCTAAAAATGGGAGAGCTCCACAACCTTCCTCACCATTAGCAACAGCCTCAAGAGCCTCCTCCTCCCTGGACCAGTCTGTCTTCTGAGCGTCACCAGAAGGCAAGGAAGAAGAAAGACTTTTGCAGAAGGTAGATACCGCTTCTGGTCCCTGCACATCCTCAGAGGAACCGGCGGCCTGTGATATCCTCTTCTCTGGGCAGGGCTCAGACTCAGGAGGCAATGGATCTGCAGGCAGCGGCATTTCCATTGGCATTGACTCCCTCTGCAGTCTATCAGCCTAGCAATCCAGAGAGAAGAATAAAAGGCATAATCAGACACTGAGACAGCCACTGCAAAATGTTTCACTCTGCCATCGTGAGCCTTCAATACGAAAACTCCTAATCTATGGTCACTTAAAAAAAAGCTGTGATAAAACAGTAGTGAGAGACAGTATGGTGCAATGGGTAGAACAGTAGTTCCCAACCTTGGATAACCCAGGTGTTCTTGGACTGCAGTGCCCAGAAGCCTTCACTACCAGCTGTGCTTGCCAGGATTTCAGGGAGGTGCAGTCCAGGACACCTGAGTTAACCAAGATTGGGAACCACTAGGATACAGTAAACAGACTACTGTATTCAGTTTCAGGACACCTGGATACAAATCCCCATTTAGCAATGGAAGCTCAAGGGCAGCGGCAATGATAAAACTAAGATATTTAGACATATTCTGTTTCACAGTACCATTAAAGATAAGAAACCACTGTCAGAGGAGAATCTGGTATAACTCTCTTAACCACTGTTCTACTAGAGTTCCTCTGTTCCAGAAAGATAACAATGCTTTGGACTAAATCAAAATACCTCACAGTAACTAGAAAAAAATGAGGCAGTGGGACCCAAGCCAGCTTCCCATGAAGTTCCTACAGATAAAGTCACGTCTCAGCTACTTCCTTTGTATTCCTTCCGGCAAGAAGACAACAGAATATTTCAGGTGGGAGAGCTATTAAACGTGCAAGAAACAAATAAAATTCATGTTCTCAAAACTAAACAATATTAATAGGGCATAAAACTAGCTGTGGGTGATTTTACAGTAGCTCTAATTACCACGAAGAAAAAGCTGTGTTGTTTCATTTCTGACCCTTACGCCAAAGGCTCCAAAAATGTTCGGATCTACTTTATTTTGTACTTTTCTATTCCAATCACCCGTGATTATGATCAATTTCCTCCTGGACACCTACATACAGTAAAAACTTTCAATTTATTTGTCAACAACATAGGCAGAGTTACATTATAGCCCTTTACTGCTTGTGTTACAGTGTCATTATTAAAGTGACACAATTCCTTATGAGTCTGCCTGCCTGGAACTGTTCTATTCTGGTCCACTTCAGTTTGCTCACACCAAGCACTGCAATATTTGAAAACTCCATTACTGGTTACTGGTTTCAAGACCAGCTCCAGTCATACTTGTCAAATTATGTGTTCCAATTACACATGCAGAGCAGCATCAGATTTCCCTTTTGCTCTGTGCACACTGACAATCAAATGTCCTTTCAGTTTTAATCAAGCCACTTCATTTGATGACAGTGCTATCCATGCTTGTTCTTTGCTCTTTCCCAGCAGGTGACGGAGGATCTTTCTAGTGTCAAGTCCCATTTTGCAGCACTATCTGTTGTTGCTTTTTGAACTGCTTCTTCATAGGGATTTCAAGCTATAAAACATTCAGAAATAGTTTAACACTGTCACTGTTTGCCTAACACCAATTAAAGAGTCAGTTTGAATATCACTGCTGTTTATGAAAAGATCCTACACCGGTGCTGCCTTTCAGTGCTGCTGCTGCTGCTGCTGCTGCAGTGGCAGCAAACCAAGCAGTTGCAGATCTCAGAAATAACACCAAGTTACAAAAAACGGCAATATTAGGAACAGCATACATACTGTGCTGATATTTAACAGATACTTAGGTTTTTTGTTAAAACTTGTATCTGTTATATAATACTAGTCAATGTTTTCATAATTTTGATTGACCGTGCCTGGTGTTTTTGAATAACCACCACTATAACCACGACCTCTGAACTGCAGAGCTGGAAGAGACCCTATGGATCACTGAGTCCAGCCCCTCTCAATGAGGCACCATGGGGGGAGCTGAACTCCCAGCCTCTGGCTCTGCAGCCAGAAACCTAAGCCACTGAGTTATCCACTGGTTCACACAGTTACAGTAAGATTTCCTTCCTCTAAATATAGACCAGGTAGACTGGACTGGTAAGAATTATAGAAGACAGCACAGCAGATCTACTGCTCTGCAGTGTGTTTTGTTATGTATTGTTATGTATTGTCAAGTTGCGCCCAACTTCTACCAATACAAATCTCAAGGTGCATGAGATTTTAAAAATGGTTTTACCAATGCCACACACACTACAGTGAGTTTCCATGGCCAAGTGAGGATTTGAACCCAGGTCTCCTGAGTCTTAGTCCATCATTCTAGCCACTACACTACACTCAACCCTTATCTGTAGAGGTTAACAATACTAAACCTTGTTTCATTTCAGCTCTTCCAAACCATTAATGATGTGCTATAAAGCAGGAGTCCCCAACCCCCGGTCTGCGGACTGATCTCAGTCTGTGGAGATAAATCTCCCCCCACAACCCCGCAGATGCATGCATAGCCCTCCCATGCACGCACGCCTCCATGCTAAACTGGTCTGTTGAGGCAAAAAGGTTGGGGACCACTGCTATAAAGAGAATTAGATGGCTAGTGAATGCTGCAGCATTTACCTGATGTGGACATTAGGATGGATGTATTGACATGCCAATGTTCTGAATGAGAAACACTGGATTTGTGAGGTTAATTTGACACACAAATTCAACTATTCAATTTTCTACTTTCAGTTTTTTTCCTCTTGTAGGCATAAGTCTCTGTTCTTTACAAACACCCAGCCCTTCTTTTCTGAGAGTAGACCATGAACCCCGAGTTCTTCCTTTGATCCTAAGTCATGTGACACAATAATGACATGGCCTACTGTACTTTAGGTAAAGAGCAAACCATAAGACTCAAACCTTGGATCAAAAAACACCCCCCCATACACACACTTCCTCTATTTCTCCTCACCTTCAGCCCCAATGTGACACCTCCCTGGGCTCCCAGGCCAGTCCTCTGGCTGTCAATTTCCCTACAGAGCACGGGGCTGTGGTTCCCTTCTTCTTTCAAGAGGTTGGCCTTGACACACACTGCCCTTTTTGCACTGGGACCAGCTGGCAGACCAGGACTAGCTGGGTTCTTCCCTCCTGTGGTTTCATTCCTCCCAGGAGCTCGCTTTGGGTTTGAGGGTTCTCGTTTGCCCTTGGATGGCTCCACAGTACTACACGGCTGGAGAGTCTCAGTTATGTCCTCCACAGAAGATGGTTTATCTTTGCCATTCTCCTTACACACAGCCTTCTTGGTCTGCTCCCTTGAGCCATCCTTGGAGCGCTTCTGGAAGAACAGCAATAAACCAAATTCAAAATAATTATAGTAAGTTACAAAAAGAAACAAGTTTCTTTGGATAACTGAGCTTAACAAATTTACTGTAATTGCCTACAAGTAATAAATGTATACCAAAACTGGGTGAAGAGGTAAAACTGTTTGCTCTGGGCTGCAATGGATAAAACTTTCTTTCAATAAATCACTGACATACAGTGGTGCCCTGCTTGACGATTACCTCATTAGACGAGGAAATTGCTTTACAATGAAGTTTTTGCAATCGCTTTTGCGATCGCAAAACGATGTTTTAATAGGGAAAAACCGCTTTACGACGATCAGTTCCCTGCTTCGGGAACCGATTTTTCGCTTAATGACGATCTTTACAGCTGATCATCAGGTCTTCAAAATGGCCGCTTGTTGTGCAAAATGGCTCCCTGCTGTGTTTTAGGACGGATTCCTCGCATTACAGGCACTAGAAAATGGCCGCCCTATGGAGGATCTTCGCTGGACACTGAGGTATTTCGCCCACTGGAACTCACTGAACCCGTTTTCAATGCATTTCAATGGGCTTTTTCATTTCGCTTGACGAGGATTTCATTCTACAGTGATTTTGCTGGAACAGATTATCCTCGTCAAGCGAGGCACCACGGTATTTGAAAATGGAAGGGCCAGTAATAATGAGAGAAGATAGCCCACCTTCTATTCTTACCAGGAATCAGGATCTTGTGAAAGACCAAACAAAGGAATAAAAGGATGCTCATAAAGACATGAGACAGACAGAGTGAAGAGAAGGCTGAATCTTACTAAGAGGGAAGCCCAGTTGTGCAAAGGGATCTTCTTCTGCAGCACCAGTTGTAAGATGTTTCCCTTTTTGTACTGTACTTTGGTGCAAGAGCTCTCAACTTCCTCATAGAACTGGCAGTTCCACTGGCGGCCATCTGCAGAGGGAGAGACCCAATAGAAAACTCTCAGGGATACACCACTGTGGCTTTTCCTCCCTCGCACAGTAAACTGAAGGGCAAAACATAGTGGTGCATATGCACAGCTACAAAAGGCACCATGCAATACGTAGAATCTTGAATGAATGGATCTGGACTGGTAAAAAAACTGGCCTAACAGCTTGGAAAGGCCACTGAAAATTATTATAGATAATGCAGGGCTATATGGCCTGATACAATGCAGGAAAACAACTTTACATGTCTGCAATGCTCTTACTGTTCCACAGCTCAACCAAAAACCTACTTCTATTTGATTTATTTATTTATTTAACTTTTATTTATTTATTTATTTATTTATTTATTTATTTATTTATTTATTTATTTATTTATTTATTTATTTATTTATTTATTTATTTATATGCTGCCCACTCCACCCGAAGTTCTCTGGGCGGCTTGCAGCATTTAAAATACAATAAAAAGGCAAAATAAAAGGGCAAAATAATTAAAATGCAAATAAAAATATATATTCTAAAAGTTGCCATCAGACCCAGAGCTGATATTATTTCAGTTAAAAGCCTTCTGGAACAGGAAGTTTTTGAGCTGGCACCGAAATGTGATCAGCGTCGGCGCCAGTACTTCTACTGACATAACTAGGACAGTCCTCTTCTCATGTAACGACAGGTGACAAACATTAATGCTGAAATATTTGTATTAAGAATAAATCCATACATGGATTTGGTTCAGTGACACATTATGTCTCATACATAATATGAGTTCTGTTGATTCAAACCAAATCCTCTTTAGTCCAGGGACGTGGTGGCGCTGCGAGCTAAACCGCAGAAGCCTGTGCTGCAGGGTCAGAAGACCAAGCAGTCGTAAGATCGAATCCACGCGACGGAGTGAGCTCCCGTTGCTTGTCCCAGCTCCCACCAACCTAGCGGTTCGAAAGCATGCAAATGCAAGTAGATCAATAGGGACCACCTTGGTGGGAAGGTAACAGCATTCCGTGTCTAAGTCACACTGGCCATGTGACCACGGAAGATTGTCTTTGGACAAAACGCTGGCCCTATGGCTTGAAAACGGGGATGAGCACTGCCCCCTAGAGTCGAACACGACTGGACAAAAATTGTCAAGGGGAACCTTTATCTTCATTTCCATTGCGGCCACTCAGCTGCCTACTGGAAATCTATCAGAAGAAATCAAGTCCAAGACCACACCTCCAGTTCTTCAACAAATGGTATTTACAATTTGCAAGTAACTTTTGGGGGAAGGTGTCCTCTGAAGTGTGGAGTTTCATGAGAAGTCTCATGGTGCAGTGGTTAAACTGAAGTACTGCTGCCAAAACTCTGCTCATGACCTGTGTTCAATCCCAGATAGCCGGCTTGAGGTTCACTCAACCTTCCATCCTTCTGAGATTGGAAAATGAGTACCCAGCTTGCTGGGGGCAACATGTTACCAGCATTATTAAATTATAAACCACCCAGAGAATACAAAATGTCTACTACTCATGCTTTCTTTCCACAGAAAGGTAAGTAATTGTCCTCCTTTCTCCTGACAAGGCTCCATGTTCAACTTTACTAGTTTTTGTTGCTTCAATTCTGACCTGATTCTCTCCATTCTCTTCCATTCTGCTTTGAGTTTTATTTTAGAAAGGTTGATTTCTATTCCTCATCCCCAGAAACTGAACAAAGGAAGCTTCTGTAAAATATGGAGAAGCTCATTCCCCTACTTTGAAATGCTGAGAGCCGGGGGGGGGGGGGAGTTGCATCACATACCAGGTAATTTGACAACACAACTGGTGTCTGTGAAAGACGTATTTACTTCTTCGGCTTTCAGGACCTTACTGCCCAAGCTCAGCCTTACAATAATTTCATCAGCATTCTGCTTCCAGTCCAGTAGCAAGTCTAGGAAACAAAAGTGATAAAATGTCAGTCTCTCACTTGCAGATGCAAATGGCAAGCTTCTCAATTCATACAGAAGGATGTAAAAACAGAGCATGGATTAGTTAATAACAAAGTGCAAATAAGATTACTTCTTTTGACACACAGTGCAACCAACACATGGGAGTCGCTGCCACAATAAATGTTAGCATGGTAACTAGCACAAACTGTTAGCCATTGCAGAAAAAAAAAAGAAACAATTCTGGAAAGTGTGTGTTAATCAAGTATGTCAGAATGGTTGCAGTGCAGTGGCTAACTGTAAGATGTGAGTGAAAAGATCCCACTTGAAAGAATCTCTCACCTCACACAATAAACTTATCATGTGACCTACAGGCAAGCCTCTCAGCACCACATTTGCATCCTGGATGTAATCCAACTATACATGACTGTTAAAAGATTTATGGAACTCATGCATGTGAACCAGGGTTTAAACTGCTATATTAATTCTAAATACTGTATTATATACTCAGTAGCAATTGGTGGAGATTAATAAATAAGGTGCGATGGATGTCCCCAGCATGTCTCACCTTTGGACTCTGCCTGAAGACATTTAATATGGCAATAGTCAGCTAAGATCGATGGATCAGTGACATGATCCAACACAAATATTCTTGGGATCTCTTCAATCCAAAGCTTCAAACAGGAAGAGATATCCCTGAATACCCATCTATTCCATAAGAAAAGACACAAACATGGACAGCAGTTCTGATGCCCTGGTCCCATATGCTGACAAAGGGTCAGTCTTAGCCAGAGACTGGAAAACTGTCATACTCACTTGGGTATTCTGGGAAGTACATAGTCGAAAAAAGGAACATTTCCAAGCTTTAGTTTAACACATCCTTTCCATGATTCAAAGAGCCAAAAACAGGGTCAGCCCATCCCTACTGAAGCTGCCACAGAACCTTCTTCTTTATAAAGAATGTGACATTCTTCATAAAGAAAATAAAGAGCCTGCTTCTCAGTCACACTATTTCTACAGCATGTGAGACTGTCTGATTTCTATAATTTACTTGACTGCTCGTTAGGAAAGCAATCCTCGGGTCCAAAGATGGCAGAAAAGGTCACAAATAGTGAGATGATACATGGTGAGAACAGACTGGGTAGCTCAATACTTGTGCAATTTACTCATGCACCGTCATCCCTTTTGACTTACCCTCCTCAGACTCCCTCTGCCAAATGGGCTCTATCAGCTCCAGGCCAGGGAAAAGCTCTAGTGATCAAAGAAACACAGAAGAAGTGTGTTGCTTTGCCATGAGCCATCTGAGCAGCTGCTCTTCTGCTCATTTTGGAAAAGACCCTCTAAAAATTATGTAACTTTAAATGGCATATTGCTACAGAACTACCTGAGTTGCCTGGATAAGACAGCTACACATCATGAACAATAGGCAGTAAAACATTTTGGAAAGAACAAGTCAAGCAAAGCTTACTTGATTTATCAGATCATTACTTCAACTCCTTAAGGAATTAGAGCAAATGGTGTTTCCTTGTCCCTTGGTCACTACATACAGGATTGCAGCTTGGGAAAGTGACTTTTTAAAAACACAATTTCTAGAACCTCTAAAAAGTGCAGAAAGTCACCATGTGAGCTGGGGAGCTATAATTTAAAAAAAGTTTTCCAAGGTTTGCACCGCATATAAAAGAGGGCCTGCATCAGATGTACAAAGGACTGGAAGAAGAAATGGCAGCCCTTGAAAACTATAGTCTCTGTCAACTTTGAGACAGGATAAATGATCTTGGGGCAGTGAGGTGAGCAGTGAATATCTTCAAATAGCTCAGCACAGTGCTGGAGCCCAATCATAACCTCTACCTCTGCAGTTTCTTCATTGCATAATTATAAATTCTGGGTTTACAGAGAGAGTAGGCAAAGTGGTATATGTGACATAATCTACTTCTGCTTCCTTTGCTGGTAAGCATGTGAAATAAGTAAACAATAAGGGAAAGAAAATAATAGTGCCATTATACCAACTAACATCTACCCCTCCATGTGCTATCCTGAAAAGCAGAAGCCTTCGTACTGACAAACAGGAAGCCTGTCTCTCCCTCAATACTGTTAATGCCAGCATAGCTGTATCTTCACATGAAGCTCATGTGCTTGGAAACATTCTAGGCTTTATGAAGGTAGAGATCAAATGTTTGAAAAGTAAGGTACTTCCTACCTACTGAAGCACACATATAGGCACCTCTGACACTGGACAGTTTGTAGGGAATTACACCCAATCAGTAAGACATTTGTCTATCCAGCATCTCCACAGATGGCACCAGGCCAAATTCTTCTGAGCTTCTTTTTTACATCTAAAGAGGACAACTCATACATTTGCATGTGGCTCCTATCTTAACCTGATGTGGCCCGAGCACCTCTCAAAGGTGCTCCATTTCTCAAACCTGAAACATCACCAGAATTCCCTCCTTCTTTCAAGTGACTTTCATAGGAAAAAAGGAAGGTATCTTGTGATCTATCTAGCCCAGTATCATCAACTCTGGCTGCCAGCAGTCCTCTGGAGTCTCAGGCAAGATTTTTCTCCCCTGTTTCATGTGGCAATTTCTGGCATTTCCTAGTGGTTTCATTCTAGAACTAACCAGGCACAATTTTCCTCAGATTCTAAAATTCAATGAGATCAGCTACGTTGAGAATGATATGGTTGCAATTCTTCCCACATTAAGTGAGACACAGAAGGGAAAAACAGGAAAAGAAGCAGACTATAGTCATCTGTTGTGATGCCCAATTAAGTTTAAACATATTGCTTATATGATAAAGGTTTTGAAATATATTGTTCTGAAATAAATTGGTTTGGTACAGTATGTGATGGGATGAGGAGAGTGAGGAGCATGGAATGATGGTACGAATGGTTCTGATTAGCCAGGAGAAACTAGGGGAGTGGTTAGGGTTGGTTAAGGTTTGGGAGCATCTGTGGGGTTAAGAGATCAAGCCTTCACCACCACCTCTGCTGGACAGTATTTCTGTGAGTTGAAGTCCAAGAACATCTGGAGGCCCAAGACTGTGGACTACTGAGGTAAAGCACTGGTTCCCAACCTTGGGTAACGCAGGTGTTCTTGGACTGCAATTCCCAGAACCCTTCACCACCAGCTGTTCTGGCCAGGGGTTTTGGGAGCTGCAATCCAAGAATACTGGGGTTACCCAAGAGGTAGAGGGTGATTCTTAATAAAAGAGTTGGGCATTTGAAAGGGGAGAAAAGAGACAGAGAGTGAAGAGTGGTGCCAAATGAATTCAAAGCCTGGAGATAAATAACACATTTGGATACTATTATTTAATAAAACCGTACTAAAATATCCCAAGATTAACAGTGTAGAGCTCAATACATCAGGGCTGGCTATGTGGATGGAGTTCCAAGGAGCAAATACACACATATGGGGCAACTAAAGGAGGGTGACAGCAAAAGTTGAAAAGAGAAGAGTAGTGAAGGTTATAAAGAATATTCCAGTGGTTATTTAAAGAAACTATTACCTAAATAATCAACTAGCAAGACAAGGGGAATCTGGACATCATTATGAGAAGGGTAGGACACAGGTACACAAAGAACTCACATATTGGCCATCTAAAGATCAGGCTGAAGATAGAAGGCCTGAGGGGGAAACAGTCCCCAGAGAACGAGCTGGAAAAACAGATACTGAGCAAACAGAGACTGAGAGGGGAAGCACACTGGAATGAGCCTTTTGTACATGAGAAAGTAATGTGGGTGATTTAATTTAAGTTAGAAACTACATACAGTAACTGTTTACAAAGAAGGTGGGTTACCCAAAAAGATATTAGGCAAAACTCCAAGAGGTAAGAAGGCTGAGAAGCAGAAGAGTATTTCCAGTGGATGGTTAGAGAAGAGTGATCTCTTGGTTTAATAAGCAGTTTCAAGTAAAGCTGGCATTACAAGTTTAGCAGAGAAAGATTGGAGTCCCAAGAGCACTGAATGAATAGCATATGTACATGTATAGGAATGGGTTAGAGGATACATCCCTAAACCTCCGGATAGATACTTCAGTATAGCAGCTTAATTATTTCCATATACTGTAGTAAGAATGCCATCTCTGTTGAAGAGGAGGAAGGTACAGTACTTCTTGTGTGATCACATGCACTTGTGTGGATAAGTGAAGGAGAAGGAATGGATAGCTGCAACGTGATAGATTTAAGTGGATGAAGCAAGTGTGGGATGGCAATAAAATGGATAGAGAAAGAGTGTGACAGCTCAGATTCTGCCCATAAGCAGAATGCAATTCCTGATACATTAGTCCTGAGTCAACAGGGCTCTCAAGAGAAAAAAGGCTGTCCATTTCTGCTTTATATATATAACTTACTGTTTGAAAAAGTCCATGACAGTCTTGTGTGATTTGTAGCTCACTGACCTGTGTTGCTCTCTGCTGTAACTTTATCAGAGAAATTGTTCTGAGAACTGTGAAGTCTGAGAACTCCAAACAAATGCAAAAACTTTCCATCTACCAAGCCACAGTCCCTGTCAATTTAGAAAACCATGACCAATGTAGAACCTTGGCAGGAATCGAACTTGACATGCCTTTAACTTCAGCTTCTCTTCCTTGGCTCCTACCCTGCAGTTCTTTGCTTATCCTCCTACTTATTTCCCTGACATGTATCCAAGTACAAAGAGAAATCCTGCTTTCAGTACATTTGATCCAAATTCTCCTTTAGTAAGCTAGCCATTTAGTCTCTCTACCACTGTCAAGAGTTAATATTTCTGCATTTATCAGATCCAGGTGGGTGTCTGTTCTTTTCTGGTTTGTGACCAAAAGCTTATGGACCGCCAAGAGAACTCAGTCCACTATGTGTTTCCAAATACTCAAAACCAACCAGAAAGTTAAATTTCCTACCATTACTACGGAACAAGATAAGTCTGCATTTTACTCTATTTCTCCCTCTTTATCCTAATGTGATTCTAAATGTATCCATTCTGCATGTTGGATGATTCATCCTGTGCCAACAGAACTCAAGGTAACTTTTGTTGCTTACTCCTTTCCAAGCTATGCCTCACTATTTCCCTACTGCCCTTCTCCCTCCTTCTTGGTTGAATTCCAGTTCCACACCTCTGTCTATCTCTGCCACTGACAGCGAGAAATCTGCCAGTCTAATGCTAGCAGGGTGACACACTAATCTAACCACCTTCCTTCTGCGAATATATACGATAATATATATAGTCTCTAATGGACATCCCTCTCTTTAGGCCTATGAACTAAGTCCTTTCTGACTAATTTATAGCACCGTCATAGCATAGGGATCATTTTTCCTTTCTACTCCATAAATCTTCATCTGTTGTGAGCCATCTTTGTTTCTCCTCAGTCTTCTGCTATGATCTTCTATATTTCTAGAACCACTGTCCTTTTTCTATTTGCCAAAGCCACCTAGTCCCCTTTTCAAACTCTATTCCAAATATCTGCAGAAAAACCATTACTGGTGCAAAATTTAATCCCTCTACTCACATATTTGCTGTTAGTCCTGCTTCCACCTTTAATCTAGCCTGGTGGTTCCCAATCTTGGGTTCCCAGATGTTCTTGGACTAAAACTCCAAGACGTCTTCACCATCTTTGCTGGCCAAGGTTTCTGAGAGCTGTAGTCCAAGAACATCAGAGGACACAAGGCTGGGAAGCACTGTCTAATTCATCATACAAGGGATGCATTTTTAAAATTCAGATAACATGAAACATCTTTTTGTGTTCAGAATTTTATGAGTGGGTGAAAATTGGCATAATTTGTGTTTGCTGAGTTGTATGTGGGGCAAATCATCAATACTTCTATGTAGCAAAATATGGTAGTTGTTCTGTTTGTGGCTCAATAAATGAAGCCACAGTCTCAAGTTTGTAAGAGTTTAAAGGAGTTTGCAAGACATTCTGAAGGTCACTCATTCACAGGGTCACCATGGGCCATAAGAGACTTAACAGCAAATATCATCTCTGATTAATTAATCCAGAGTAAAATATAGTCTTATGTATTTAACCCGACTGCAAACTCTTTGAAAGAGAGCACGTATCACAGTGAAATTCTTGGACAACAGTATCATACTGTATGTGTACAAGAAAAACGTATTTTCCGGAGTTCAGAAGTATTTTTCTTACTTAACAAATAAGTTGGGATTTTCTGGGCTGTGATTCAGAAACCCTGCTGGCTTTGCTAGAATCAGTCCACTACAGATGGCTCTCAGCTTTGTGCTTGTGCTGATGGATAACCTACAGCATAAAGCCCTACCTTTCTTTGAGTCACTGCCAGCTGGCCTCTCGCCTTCTTTACTTTCCTGATTGGCTCGGTCCTTCTGCTTCTTCTTATTGGCGGCATCATCCACTGCCCGTGCTGTTCGTCTCTGACCAGGGACACTGGCACTACTGGACATTTTCAGCCGTTTGGATGAGACAAACGGCCCGCCGGGGTCAGTGACGGAGTCTGGGTCAGGGGTGCGACGTTTTCTTCCCGAGCCAGCTATCTTGGCGACTCTTTGTGGTCAATCTCTCTGGCAAGGAACAAATACCTGGGGGGGACACATGAAGAAGACATTGGTAAATGTGGCAACAGAGGAAGGGAAAACAGCTCTGTCCTAGCAAAAGTGTTAAAAACACTGGAAGATAAAAAAACAAAATAATCCTGCAATCTGAGCACCACACATGACAAACAAACCAAAAAGAATGGCCAAAAATCCTGTTGGCATAAAGTTAATGCTACAGAGTCAGATCATCATCATCCATGACAGTAATATTTAATTTAAATGAATCAAAAACTTCCTGTCCCCATTTCAGTTTCTTAAGCTTCCTAGAGCTCCTTTTTGCCATGAGAAAGTATTTGGGAGCCTAGGGAAAAGGCTGAGGTTTGAACAGTGGAAAAAGCCCCACTGGATCACTGCTGGTGGTCCCTATCCTGGTGGTAGTGATTTGGCAAAGCCCCACCCGGGCAAATCCTGAAGCTTCCAAAGGCTTCCCTTGACCAAGAGGAGAATAGATCTGATAGATGTGGTGAAGATCTAGGAGTGTAAATGGGTATCTAAGCCTATCAAGACTGGAGTGCTGTTATTCAATTCCTTTTCATTACTAGTCACTGTCAGAACAGTTTACAAGACTGTTCGTTTCCATGCAGAATGGTGCTGCTTCAGAAACCAATATATTTTTCGTGATAGGACCAAAGGCCAGTAAAACGTCATCTTAAGTTAGAGAAACTACCTGGTACCTCCACAGTTCTACCAACGCCTTTTCACTGCTTGACAATTTGAGTGTTGAGCATCAAAAAGATCCACTGTGTCTTAAATATTTAATATCTTGCAGCTGAAACATTTTAAAAGTAACTCTCTGAAGCAGTAATCAGAGACAGTCGCAGCCGGGGTGAGCAAGGCAGACTTCCTGCTACACTTCAGGCAAACAGTGAGCATGCCTACAAGTCCTGCCTCAGCCAGCTCAAGTCCCTAGCTACCAAATGCCACTTTCAATTTCACTGCCACAGCAACTGTTCCAAACACATGGTTAGACTGCCGTATGAAGAAGCCAAGATTATACATTTCAATTTTTTTCCTAGTTCATATTCTGCCAATTCAACTCTAAGGAGCACCCCCAAACAGCTTCACCCACTAATTAGTGCACTCTTGGCACATACTAAAGAGAAGATAAAACCTGGCAACCCTTACTTACAAATGTCACACAAGTTCAGAAAGTACACCGCCAAAATAGCAAGCTCCTGCACAAATACAGTACCTGGAATATGTGCCCTCACAAGCAGCATAATATGAGCAGAGGACAGCCAATCAGACCATAAAAGATATTCCTAGAAACAAGCACTGGATATCCTACCTCAGATGGTGTTTGAACCAGGCTGGTCCCTTCTAATATTATGAGTCTCACCTATCTTGTTCCACAAAGACAGACTTGCAAGCTATATCAGCCAATGAACCAAGTCACTGTCCATGACTCTTCTCTCACTAAAGCAGCTACATTTATTATTTATTTATTTATTAGATTTCTATCCCTCCCATCTAGGCCAAAGGTCTACTCTGGTGTTCTGTTTCTGGTGGGCCTAGTGGTCTACAAAATCCACGGGCACAAATACGGTTGATTCTTGGAACCACAACAGTCAGAAAAGAGGCATGGAAGAGAAGTGAGAGCCTCAGAACAGAATACCCTGGGAAACAGTGGGTGGGGACAGATCAGCTCCTGTTTTGGGAGCACACAGAAAATGGTCCTTTGGTGATCCTTCTCCTTATCCACTCCTGGACTTCTCTGGCAGTGCCAGCCAACACCAGCAGCCAAGAAAATGATAGTGGGTCTAGCCACCATTTTCAACATGTCAACAGTGTCTCCACTGAAGCATAAACTCTCAGTTACTGTGGGAAATTAAAACAGCAATTAAACCCAGATACTGTACCTATGGCTGCTAACAACAATAAAGGGGGGATATCAGCAATGGTTTGGAACTGACATTTCAAAATACTTCTTAAACACTTAAGGGCCCCTCCTGCTCTAAGACTGCCTAGCCATAATCTCCAAGCCCAATTCAGTTTCCCTAAGAAGAAATTAGTCAGCATAGTTCTTCAGTCAAGCTAAAATAAGACACTCAAGAGATCTACTTCTAGGTTACACAGGAGAGCACTGCCAGCTCCTTTAGCAATATGCTTGGGTTGACATGCCCAAACCACTCCCAAGCAAGGAGTCGATGACTCAGGGCTAAGTGCATGAGATAAAATAGCATCTACAGTGCAGCTATCATGCAGAAGAGAGAGAAAACTTTTGCTGCCTGACAATAAATGGAAATTACAGATTGAAGCCTGACATCATGCAAAATATTGTCCCCACCTGTGAACACATGGTTTAGGATTATAGCATTTCTCATGAAACCAAGGACTAATGGCTGGCTCTTAACCATCGAAGCTGATCTCTCACTAAGTAGAAGTACTAAGCTTTTCTCCAAGAAGCACTGTTCTGAGGCGCATCCTGAAGGAAGACCTGGAGCCTCATCTAGGACTGGGAAAAGTCACCATTGGGAAAGGTTGCCATTAACACCTGTCTAACATCTAGAAGCCTTAGGATCCTTTAGATACATAGGCAATGAAACCTTGCTTCCCATGCCTCAAAAGGGAGTATTCAGAGTTACAGCCCACTTAGCCAGCCTGGCACCATCTAATTGGAACAATTTTTAGAAAAGAGAATGTTGCCTTCTGATAATGTCTATTTTTCTACTTTATACACAGAAATGCAAGTTCTGCAATACACAGAGGGCATTCTTATTCTATTTTCAAGATCCTTTTCCATCACCCCTCTTCCATCTGCACATAAAATTACAATTGAATGGTGCTAGAAAATTATTTCTCCATATATGAGGCTATGAAATCAAAGTGACATTGTGCCACAAAAGTGCCAAAGTGGTAAACATTGGCACACTACTTAGGCAACCAGCTATGGGAAGAAAAAAGAAGAGTGAAACAAAAATGCAAACAGTTGCTATCCAAATGAAATATTCTTCCAGACTTGAAAATATAATAATCACTCATAACCAAAACTGAACTTGGGGTGGGAGGGATAATTCAAGACTGAACAAAGACAAACTAAAAATTTTAACAAATAAAGTCTTAGATTTGTCAGGATGAGTACTGAAGAAAGCCAGAAGAGCGTAAAAACCACAAAGCTAATGATGATTACTCATACCAGTATGAGGACAACAAATCATTGTCTGAAAGAAGGTACTCAGAAAAGTACAGATAAAACAATAAATTTTACCTGCCATGAAAAACAAAGGTGTTATCCAGGCCCACACTGGCTAAGAGCAATGGTTAACATATGGCAACTTAGAAATACTAGCTGCCTTTCTAGATTTTTTTTGTAAAAGCTACACCAGAGGATATACGTAACCCACAATATGAACAATGCAATCCTATGTCTATTTGCTCAGAGGCAAGTTCCACAGAACATATAAGGCTTATTCACATACATGGTGGATAAAAATCAATGATTTTTAAAACTGATTTAAATTATGATTTAATATTTTTTAAATGATGTTATTTAAATTGTCAAAAACTTCAATTTTTAAAAATTTAAATTGTAATTTAAATCAATCTGATCTGAACAAATCCGCCCTGTTCACAAACACAGGTAAAGAATGATAGCTTATGTGGTATCAGTTGCCATTGGGTAGCATTTATCACCAGGACTAACAAAAATGGCAGCCTCTGAAAGCATTCATAAATGTATAAGCTGTAGGATAACACTCTGGGTCTCCTTCCAGCCGAAGGCTCAGCCATCCAAATTCAACAGAAGCTTGAAGTCTCGTTTAAGATGCCCCAACAAACCTCACACCAGGGGCTGTCATACCCTCCTCTGCCTTCTGGTTAAGGATCTGTGTTCATCACATACAATGAGACCAAGTGGTTGGTTGCGCCTGGCTATTTTCATTACGCTGACCTAACCAAGCTCAGCCTTGGGAGCCTCTCCCCAGCTGGCATTTACCTCAGGCCACCACCCTCTCTCCCGCCTGCTTCCAGGGGCCTTTATTAGGGAAGGAGCAGCCAAGAGAACAGGGCCGTTTTATTCCCAGCCACTTCTTCCTCTACTCCTAGGGAGGCAAACGCCCGAAGTAAGGACCAGGCAAAAGGACGTCTCCGGCCTCACACCCTTGATCCCTCCCTCCCCCGCCTTCTGCAAGAGGCTCCTCGGGTGACACCGGCCGTCCTTCCAGCCTCTGCTGGCCGACATAAAGGAAGGTGCGCTTTCGGCAAAGGCCTTTTATCTGCCCGCTGCCCACCTTCGAAGGAAACTGAGGCAGCCCGAGGAGGGCCGAGCCTGAGCTCGGGGAAACAAAACACCCCGAGGGAAAGCGAAGGAGACGAGGCTGCCCTACGGGACGGACCAGGCCCAAAGCCCGCTGACGGGAGCCCCCTCCCCCCCGAACTGCCCCCCCCGGAGCTCCCTTTTGTTGTGCCCACAGAGACAGCCGCTCAACTCCCGGGCCAGAAGGACGGCGAGCGAAGGAGCGAAAGGGAGAGGCAACGGCCCACAGGGACGGCGCCTGCGCGGACAAGGAATACACACCTCACGAGGTGTGGAATGCTCGAGCCTCTGCACCTCACCCGCTTAAGTAACCCCAGCGGTCCCACAGAGAGAGAGAGAAAGAGAGAGAGAGGCCGGCAGGCAGGCACGCAGGCCCCTCAGCGTTTCCCCGGCAAGCGCCTCAGGCCA